CCAGTGGTGGCCATACGAACGCCAACGCCAACGCCCACGGGGTGACCAGTACTCGAGGCACCCGAAGAAGAAGGCGAAGAAGAACTCTGGACACCTCTTGAAATCGAGATGGAAACCGGGAGATAGTCGACCCCTAGACTCTCCCCAACCCTAGACCGCTTGGTTTTCTACAAAATTTTAAGTACCTCTGTCTCTGTGTAGCGCGGCTGTGTCTCTGTGATTTCCAGTGAAACATGAAAACGGCAAATGAATTACGAACGACTGGAATGACTAACTACTCACTCGGTAAGGGGCACCACTTCAGATGGGCCAAAAGCCGCTGATAAGACGAGAAAGAACCAGAAACAAAAGCGCTTTTAGTAGTAGGTTTCCCTCCACTTCTTCCACTTTTTTCCCTTCTTTTAGGACCACTCCAGGTGATGTAAATTTTTGACAGAGCAAACAATTGAAATGAGAAATGAGACAAAAAGACACATACCTGGCGCTGAAAGGTCTCTCGCTCTCTCTCTCTCTCACTCTCTTTCTGTGATTCTTTTCCTTTTTTTTTACCCTGTGTGGCTCTGGTGGTTGTCAGGTTGGGCTTGTTTCGAGTGCGTGCCACAACATGAGGAGGGGCAGGGGCAACGCCTGATTAATTTGAACTGATAAGCCCGTCATTTGCTTTTGTGTAGGTTGTGAAACGCTGCGCAGGCGCACAACGCACACATTTTCCAGGTCATACGCCCCGACATTGTCTTTATCTTTATCGCATTTTGAGTGAAACATGAGCAATGTTGTTGCCGCTGTTGCCTTACCTCCAGCCACGTTCGAAAACAATTACCCCACAAAACAGCCAGGCACTGAGCGCACTGAGAGAGAGGGAGATACAAATCGGGGGAAAAGGTTTTTAACGCATCGTCAACAACGCCACAAGCGATTCTACACACCGCCCGGCGGCAACTTTGACACAACTTTCCGACAGTCCGGCTGTCCGGCATTCGACATTGTCCTCACCGCGAATTCGGCGTAAACCTGCTGACGGAATCATCCAGAGATCGGAGCGTTGATCGGGAGCAGGCAGCCCTAATAAAGTTGTACGAGTATGTGGCATGCAACTGGCAACTGGCAACTGGCAACTGGCCACCGGCAACTGCTAACCGTTAAGTATCTTTGCCAAACGCTAATAGCCTGCAGCTGTGCTCTGCAACTATCTGGAAGAGGGATCTCCTCCCGATCGGAGCGGGGAAAATGGCTAGGAGATTGTGGAGCGGAGGCACAGATTTCCCCACTCCAGTGCACTCTCCTCCCAGAGGAGAGCATAATTTAGCCGAGTTGGGGCCATAAACTGCAACGGCAGCTTTAAATTATGAGCGGGTTGGCAACAGAAAACTCCAACTGCAGCAGCAGCAGCAGGAACAGAAACTGCAACTGCAACTGCAACTCTGCAGCTGAGTTCATTTTGCTGCCTCACATTTCCAATTATAGACAGGGAGGCATATTTCACTGGCAACGGTAGATATCCGCCCAAGAGATACCCTAGACTGAGAGGAAAGAGCTGCCACCCACAGAGAGTAAGCCTAGATTTCCCATGAAATGTTTCGCTTAAATACTGGTGTGGCTATTGTAAGGACAGATCTTCCCACTATTCCCACAAGACAAACACTTTTGTGTTCCCCATGGCTTCTCCTCTCAATCAATATACCCATCAATCCACATGTCTGCAAGGGGTATGGGCATGGCACTCTTCACCTCACTGGCAGTTGATCTAGTCTGATGCCCGTTTCACCTGTTGCTGGATGCTGGATGCTGGAGCACAGGCTGGAGCTGTGGCTGTGGCTGTGCCTGGGCCTCTGCCTGTGGCTGTGGCTAGGGATTGGAATAGCGAACTCCATTCCGCATCCACGCCCCGATCGTTGGCATGCACAACATAAATTCAGTGCGGCACACTTGGGTGTTGGGTCTGCCTGGGCTCCTCTGCCTCTGGAGCCTCCTGTTGCTGCTCCTGCTGCTGCTGCACTAATTTATAGTTTGCAGACTAGTCGAGTGACTGACAGGCTGCCTGCCTGCCTGCCTGACCGGCTGGCCGAGAAGACGGAGAAGACTCCACCGACAGACGGACAAATTATTTGCTTGCCCGAGTTGGAGTTGGGGCCTCCTTCGGCCTTTTTTGGCTGCTACCGATTCAAAAAGATGTGCTGCTGCTGCCGCTGCCGCTGACTGGCTATGGCATTTCGCTGGCCTCCAAAATTGAATGCAAACCTCGGGACGGGGTTGACAAGGCTGGCGGACGATGACGATAAGCATCGTGAAGCAGATACACAGATACTCGGATGCGCGGATGCTTGGACTCGTAAAGTGGGCACGCATTGACGAGAGCGGGACATGCCCAGGCCTGAGCATCCACTGAGCAGATACTTTGCGTTCCTTATCGCTCGATCAGCTTGTTTCGGACATTTTCTTGTGTAATTTGCGCCTCGTCGACTGCTCTGCATACAAATGAGCCTGCCAGCCGTCACTTCACTTCACTTCCCTCACTCAGAGCCGAGCCAAGCCGGGCCCAAAAGAGCCTTAAAAATACAACGGCTTAGAGTGCCGCTGCTTTCCGAGACGCTTTCCGTATCCGTATCGTATCTCTCGCTGGAACAGTCGCCCCAAATCCTTTACTTTGCCCAAATGCGAGTACAAGAAATTCAATTAAAATTATGATTTTGCATAAATTGGGGAGAGCATGAGAACGAGTCGCAGTCGCAATCGCCACAATTTGTATCTAATGAATCGCTTGGCGGCAGGCAACCCACAAATTAAATGGACTTCAATGAGCAGTCGACAAAAGAAACCAAAACCCATCCGCTATCCGCTCAGAGCTCTCAGTTCTCAGCTTCGATTCGTGGGCGGCGCCCAAGTCGAAGTGAAAAATGCTTGAGAGGCCTTTGTTACTGCCACTGGATTTCGGTTATGGCTTTATCTTTTATAGCCCACTTGCCCCTGCCTCTGCCTCTGCCCCTGACCGCCGCTACCTGGCCGCTACCGCCCGGCCACCGACTTTGTGGTTAGAAATGATGAATGAAAATCCCAAGGAAAGGAGAGGAGTGGAATGGAATGGAAAGAAGTGCGTGTGCCAGAAAACTAAATGAACATGAAGAATAATGGAGTGGGATTAAGTTGAGGCAACTCGGAAAGTCGAACGGAGTGCGGGGTCTGGTTTGGTCTGGGAGTTTCGGCGTTTGGAGTTCATTAAATTCTGAGATCCGTAAAATATGCAAAGGCGTGCCCGGGCAGAAGAGATTATCAGGGGGCGACTGCTGCAAACTGACTTTTAATATATGATAATTAATTCATTATCGATGCTGGGACTGCAGACAGCTGGAGAGCTGGTAGGCTGGAGAGGAGCACAGGAGGACAGACAGCGGGATGACAACGCTGACAAGGATTTCACTTGCAATTAAAACGAACAAGACACAAAAATTGCCAGCCAAGGCAGCGGATAAGCCAGCAGCTTGGGGACTAACACTCGGACTCCCCCAGGCCTCAGTTCCCAGTCCCAGTCCCATCTCCATACCCATCTCCATCTCTACTCCTGTCCAGGAGACACTGCCAGACCAGACAGAGAGACAGCCAGACAACTGGGCATCTCCTGGCTGGCTGGTTGGCTGTTTGGCTGGCTGGCTGGCAGGCAGCTTTCATTCATTAAAGCGCACCCCAAGCCGAGCCTCGACATGGACTAAAAACTGATTATCTGCATATAAGCCAACTAAAAACTGGATACACCAACAACAACAGCAAGAGCAACAGAGGAACAGAGCAACAGAGCCATAGCCATAGCCACAGCATCGCCATCAGCCACATCAGCATCTGCGGCAGCGGCAGCGGCAGCAGCAGCAGTAGCGAAAAGGAAAAAAATAATTGCCCAGAACTGTTTAACATATCACGAGAGTGGCGGAGCGCAGCAGGAGGAGGAAGAGGAGGAGAAGCCTCCCCAGTCGAGTGAGTCTTTTATAAAAATTCGCAACATGTCATTGGAGTCGATGCTGGGGCACTGTGCGAGCGTATCGTGAGGAGAGCTTCAGCCACCAGCACCAGCGGCAGCTCTCGAGGCACCCCCAACTCTTGGACCCGTTCATTGTCTGGGCAACTTTGACTGCGCAGGACACGGAACGGACACGGACACGGACATGGACATGGACATCGGCATCGACGTGGACATGTCAATGTCTATCTCCCTTGCTCTCTGTCGCTGTCGCTGTCGCTGTCGCCGTCTCTGCCTGCAACTCCGACTCCGGCTCTGATCCATATCGTTAAAAGTTAACGCTTTAGCGGCTTAAACATGGCTTTTAGCGTTAATTAACAACGAATTTTCGAAAAATGCAAAATGTGCGCCACTGCCACTGCCACAGCCCCAGCCGCAGCAGGAAACGGTCGACCCAACAAGTAGACAGAATGTTAAGTGACACGGAGCCGATAAGCTGCCGTGGCCCGCAGCTACATGGACCCGCCGAAAAGTCGACAAAAACATCGACATTGCAGGACCCTCGCTGGATATTTCCACTTTCAAATGCTGCTTGCACAATCAATATTTTTTCGAGGCAATATTTTCGGTGTCCAGTGCAGTTCGATATATTCAGTATTCAATATGGAACCCACAAAAAAGAAGAACAAAAATTTTACTGTTCCTTATTTTTATTTTTTGCTCAATTTTTAACAACATGCAAAGTCATGGAAATGAAATTCAATAAATGTTTATGGAATAAAATGCATACAAAACAAGGATATGCACCATACGGAACGATGGTCAATTTGATTTGAAAAGAATAGAACGATAAAAACCTCAGAGAAGGGCTCTGTGAAGATAGCAATCGCCTTTAACCGATTGATCCGTAGTCTCTCGTTAATCCTCTTCATTTTTATAATTTCTTGCCACCCATAACGGCTCTGGAAAAGAAATCCCATGCCAAATTCAAATACACTTCACGTAATATATATCATATCATTTTTATTCAAGCAAACTAAAAATTAACAAATTGTTTAACCAAAAAAAAAATTTCTTTACACAAATCTTGGGGCCAATAGATCCACTATTTACACACATACATATACCTATGAGTATAGCTAGTTTAGGCGATTATTAGACTGCATTACAGTATTACACAACTGCCACGGACTACGACAGCAGAGGGCAAGTGTTATAGAGCCTATAGTCGTGCTCTGTTTGGAAGCGCAAAAATAAAAAAAAAAAAACCTAAACGTAGACTAGACGATTAATTTAACTAACGGCTAAGCTGATTGGAAGAATCCGTTTTACTACAGGCTATAGGGAAGCACTTGGAAGTGTGTTGGAATTGCAAGATCTGCGAATGTCGATCCACAGATTGTACATACAGTAAACCTTATACCTTTAGGAAGCACAACTTTCATTTAAAAAAAAAAAATTATATATATATGTACAGAACCATCGTTCATCGTTCATTATTCATTATTCATCATTTATCATTCGTTATTCGTATAGTACTTTACAGTTTACACCTTAAATGTTAGATCACAGTGGCGAGATTGGTTTTTCGACGCCTGCCAGATCGGTTCTGAACCGAATTAGGGGGGGGCGGGCGTGTGCCTGCAAACAGCCAAATGGAGGATCCGTCGGACCCATTGGGAACTCCGGCGGACACTCATCTGGGCGGACAGAAGCTGAAGTAGGGGAATAGCTGGCAGTGCAGGGAGAAGAAGCGCTTGGGATCCGTCTTCAGATCGAAGCCATCCACCTTGATCACGTTCCACTGGTTCTTCATGTGGGCGTAGCTGAAGGACACCTGATCGTGGAACGTATCGGAGCGTATGAACTCCATGGGCTCCAAGTGCGAATGGAAGTTGTCCACCACCGTCAAGGGCACCTTCAGAAGATGCTCTGCGGAGATTGAAGAGAACAAACACAAAGGAAGAACAACAGTTAGTCCCTGGGCCAGTTTCCTCTGCAGAGTGTCCTTAGAGTGTACTCACCTATAATGAAACCCATTGTGACATCATCCGGAAAGCGTATCTTGTCGCCGATGCTGGTGAACTTGCCGCCACCTGCTATGGGGCGCATCTTGAGCGTCAGGGCCCGGCTCAGACAGAAGCCAGCGCCGCCAGTGGCGAACCAGAAGGTTATCTTCTTGTTGGTTGTCGTGTTCTTCTGCAGAGAGGAGAGAGCCGAGAGAAAGGGAATATTAACGGAAGAACTGGCTTATGAATGGGGACGAGGATGAGCAGCGCAAAGGATAAACTTGGATAAAAATCCATTTTTTCTTCGTTTTGGTTTGGCAATGGCCCAGAGAAAATTGCCTCAAAATGAAAAAAAAAAAAAAACACCACAAAAAAACCCAAAAACCCGAAAACTGGCCCATGCACCTCGTATATGATTAATTGACCATGTAAATGGACATGTGCGAGGTGGAAACTTAATACGTGGGTCTCCGGCCCAAAGAGTAAGTCGAGACCTGCACAGGATCTCGTCTCCCTCTTGCCACTCTTGGCCTCTCTCTGGCTCCCGCTCCTTGGTTTTGGTTTTTGGTCCTCAAATCAAGCGTAAAGTTTGGGGTTTATTTTTTAATTAGGTATGGAGGTGCGTTCAGGGCTGGAATGGAGTCCCCACTCGACCGAAAGAGCCCGAGAGGTCTGCTACTAAATTTCTCTTCGATCAATCGCCATCCCTGGCAACTCTGGCCTAAGCCGACAAAACTGTGGCAGCCACATTCATTGCGGGATCAGCTGGGGCGATATTTCAAATGGTCTGGAATGGGAACGGGCTCAGAGGCTCGGAATCGGATTCAGATTCAGATTCAGGCTCTGGCTGCTGCTCTGGCCCAATGGCTATGGCTATGGCTATGGCTTTGACTACGTCTATGGCTTTTGCTTTTGCTATTGCTATTGCTATTACTGTTGTTGCTATTGCCGCGCCAGATCATATCGGTTATTAATGATAGCCTGCGCTGGCAGCTGTAAGCCAAATGGCGGCATAGACAAATGGCCCGGGCGGCCACATAAATAACACAAGGCCCGGCCCGGCCCGGCCCGACCAAGCCTGTTGTTCGAAGCGAAGGAGGAGAGAGAAAGGCGATCGTAGCGACGGGTCGGGACGGGACGGGACGGGACTGGACGAGGCAAAAACTTGTAATTACGTATAGGAAAATGGGCAGAAATAACAGGGATTTGCACTTACGCTGTCCAAGTGGATCTCCAGCGGCGAGGAGATGCTCGGCTTGCCCAGATACCAGTCCACACTGGGGCTGTACTCGTCGAGCAGTTTCACCAGTCTCGGCACATTGACATAGTTGTCATCGTCAAAGTGACAGAACCACCTGGAACGAGAGAGAACATAGTAGAGCATTCATTACTAAAATTCGTATCGATAACATCACATTCATATTCCACATTCGAATTTTCCCCGTAAAAAAAAATACACAAGTAGACGATATGCCCTCCCACGTGGAACTGACGCTGGAGCAGCTGGTGAGGATTGCTGTGGGTGTGCCGGAGATGACACACGTGAATGTGGCGGTGCTGCACAGTCTGCTGAATGTGCTGCTGAAGAAACTGAACTGCCAGGACGATCTGGTGACCATTGGCGGGTTCGAGGGCAAGTGCATGGAGCGAATACTGGAGCAGTCCAAGTACTCGCCCCTGCCCTTCGACGTGGCGGCCATTGTGCCCATCTCGGAGCAGCTGGGCAAGGTGGAGCAGCTGGAGAAGCGCATCGCGGATCTGGAGAAGAACCTGGAGTGCCACTTCAAGCAGATACGTGTCTGCAACCAGGCCAAGGGCAAGAAGTTCCAGTCGAAGATGTGGGAGAAGTACGCCTCGCCCTGCGAGGACCTCTGCACCACCTGTGACGAGGACAACAAGATCGCCTGCAGCCTGCTGGCCAACGTCGACTTCATGAAGAAACTGATGCGCCAAATCGCCGGCCCCATCCTCCTTCAAATGGAGGAGGTGGGCAAGCGCCTGGACAAGTTCTACGAGACCCTCAAGGAGTTTCTGCGCCAGACCGAAGCGCTCTTCCAGCGCCTCGAGGTGATCAAGCAGTGCATCATGGAGATCGAGAGCCTGCGCATCCAGCTGCAGGAGTACAACATGACCTTCATCGGCACCATGGAGGAGCTGCAGGACATGTTGGACAGCAAGCTGGACAAGGTCCACATGCCGGCCCTCAAGATGTACATCCGCGATCGCTTCGACGACATCGAAATGCGCCTGCGCATGATCGAGAACAAGGAGACCTGCCCGCGGGCCGCAGGATTCATCAATTCGGGCCTCTGCTGCATCTCCTGCGGCAGCACCCGTGTCGGCGCCGATGTTGGCCCCCAGGTCGTTGGCCTGCTGCCCGACGCCCCCGCTCGCGGACACCCGTCCGTGGTCTCAAAGCCGGTCCACTGCCACAAGAACCTCGTGTGCCGCTCCCTCGAGAAGGAGCCCACTCTGATGGTGCGCTTGAAGAACCTCGACCTGGACGTTCTTGCCTCCCGACTCAACCGCCCCCACCACGGGAAGGTATGCAAACTGCCCGAAGCCAATGACACCATCTACGGTCTGCGTAATTCCTGTTATTCTGGTTAACTATTGCCCGCCCCTGACCACCCCACCCCACTGTTCACCATATGTTAGTCCCGATGCCAATCCCAATCCCAATCCAAACCCAAATCCAAATCGTTTCGTTTAAGCAATAAAACATAAGACCCCTCGTCTCTCAGGCCACTCTCAAGGCTGTTTCCGCTAAGCAACAGAAGCGTACAAAAAAGTGCACTAATTTAGATTGCAATTACCGTGCAGCCAGCCACGGAGGAGGCAAAAGAGGAAGGAGATAGCGATCGCGGTCCCCTACCCGGCCTCCCAGTTGCAGTTGCAGTTTTTATAGTGACAAACGATCAGCCATATCCGGTAGCCAGCGGTGGACTAATGATGGCATTAAGCGGCAGCTGAAAGGTCGACCGCTGACCACGGAGACGGAGAGTGCCAGCCAGCCTGGGTGCCGAGGTCCGATCCGAGGCAGGGGATCCTCGACTTTGCAATGATCTTGACAGCAATGGAATTTCGCCACAAGAAATCAGAATATCTGTTGGAGAATGCTGGGAGAGCCCTGAAGGGGGGTTGCGAAAACAAAGCTAAATACTCGTGGAAATCTCCTGAAATAGTAGTGCCCTTGGCACCATTTCCACTACTCTTTGGTCCTGCAGGGTATCCCCCTCGTCGGCTTGTGCCTCTTGCCGTTTCGCCTGGCAGCAACTTTCGTTGAGCCCATAAGTATTCAATAAAATCGAATCGAATCTTGGAGGATTGGAGGATTGGCAATGGCTTGTCTTGTGTGTTTCTTGTCTTGGCGTCTCGTTGGGTAATTTAATATAATTTTTATTGCATAAGCCGCGATACTAGGGATGGCAGGGAGGGAGGTAGGCAGAGTTTGTCTGTGTGTGTACAGGGGGGGGTAGATAGATACATAGATACTACTCCTAAGCCTGGCATTCATAAATTGCCTGCTGTTTCGATGTTGTGTCTATTGCTGCTGCTGCTGCTGCTGTGGCTGCTGATGTTGTGGCTGCCACATGCGATACCTGTGCGAAACGGCAGCCCCCCCACCCCCCTCCCTCTCTGCTGTCTTTCCCCGCTTGGAGTCGCTTCGTGACGCATAAAAATGCGCGTTTAATTTGCTTAATTATGCGCAGAGCATAACCCATCTCCCCACCAGCCCCGACTCCTGTGTCCCGCCAGCTGTCTTCGGTTTCCCCTGATGCGGCTTTCCCTGGTTTTCCAAATTGAAATCTAGCCGCTATTTTATGTTCGTTGTCGTTTAATTAACGCTCGTATGCCCCTCCTCCCCCCTCCTCCCTGCCTCTGCCCCACTCTGATGTCTTTGTGGCATTTATGAAAATGTTTTCATTTGGAGGTTCTTTGGGTTATCGATTCGGGAATCGGTGGATCGTTGGTTCCACTCTCTCCCTCTCTCTCTCCCTTGCAGCAAAAAGAGAACTCTTCTTGTGTGTGGCGTCTATCTTTGTATCTGAGAAATGCATGCGTGTGTGTGTGTGTGTGTGTGTGTGCGTGTGCGTTTGGCCATTGAAATACGAAACGAGTGCAAACTTTTGGTTTAGTTTATTTCCATAGCTGTTTTTCCAATTATTCGCCGCTGCTCTGATGTGGGCAGATTTCGATCAGCAGACAGCTGCTGTTGCTTTTTCTGCTCTCCATCCTGCCCCAAAAACCCGCTCCCGGGGCGTTGGCGGCTGACTCCATACCATACCATACCATTCCCATTCCCATTCCCAATCCCGTTCAACCAAGTCCGTGCCACATAGCAGGCGAAATGAGTTTATGTCTGGAGCCACAATAAAAAATGATTGACGGGGCACTTCAACTCGAGAGCAGAAGGAGAAACTGTGCGATGTGCGATGTGCGGTGTGGGACGGTGACGGGGATGGGGAGTCCCGGCCGGAGTCTTAATAGATTTCGCATTAAGAGAGAGAGACCGTTGCAGAGGCAACTAAGTTGTGGTGCACACAGGCAGCGCTAAAAGTATTTTGACAGCAGGCGAAAGATAAGCGATCGCCGAAAATCCAGTGCCCAATGCCCAATGCCCAGTGGATGACGATGACGAACTGATTTCGTTCGGGTTTCTCTCTGCCCCTCTCTCTCTCTCTCTCTCGCCTTCGAGAGGCTGTTGCAATTAGCAATAAGTCAGCTGTCATCTGCTGGACGGGGAGCTGTTCGAGGCGAGTATGTTTTATATGTATCTTTCGGATGCCAGTTTCGCGGATTGATACAAATCAATGTGGTCGTGGTCGTGGTCGTGCCGGGGAAGGGAAACCAACAGACAACAAGATATTTACATTAAGCAGGAGTTCCCCCGTCCGACCACTCAAATCACCCAGAATGTCCGCTGTCCGACGTCCGATCTCCGATGTCCGATGTCTGCCTCATTAACAGAGACAACAGCCAGAAGACGGAGTCCGAGAGACAGAGACAACAGCGAAAGGGAAATTAATCTTCCCATTTTGGATGCAGTTTGCTTTCATCTTTAAGTGCAGCCATGAGTCAGAGATTTATTGGTGGAGCTGCTGCACGCCTGCGCACCCGCTGATCTGTGGCAGATACAAAAAGCGTTTCACTTCTGAGCGACTGAAGAGAACAATTGAAGTGCATTTGTCAAATGCCCCATGCCTCATGCCTCATGCCCCGCTCTGGTCCGCGCCCTGACAAAAGCAAATCATTAATTCCGCGGCAGCGGCTCAAGTGTGAATTGAATGTATCTTGTGGATGCACAAGCAGCCTGGCTGCAAATTGAAGGCAATTGTCGGCGATTATGCTCTGCTCGTGGGTGGCTTTGTATGTGGGAGTGTAGCTGAAGCTGTAGCTGTGGGAGGCGCTAATTGAAATGTGGAGCAAAGCAGAGCTCTGTCTCCCTCTCAGCCGCCAACAACTTCCCGGATGTTGAGAGTGGAGTCTCTGGAGCCGCCTGAGTATCTATCAAATGCAATTGCATTTCCTAATGAAAACTCCGCATGCAAATGCTACAGTTGCAGTTGCCACAGTTGCAACAGTTGCACGCAAATTGCCTGCTTCCGCTGCCACAATTCTGACAAAGATTTCAGCTCTTTTTTCCTGTTTTTTTGTTTTTTGTCAACATTCGTTGAAGGTCCGCTGTCGCCTCTGCCATCGAATCAATTGGATAATGGGGATTGCTGTTGCGGTTGCTGTTGTTGTCTCTGTTGTCGCTGCCTGCCACAAGTGGCAAATAAATGAAATGGATGCGTTTCTCTAAAATGGCTTGGGGAAGTGTCGCCCCGGTTGGTGGTTCTTTTCCCCTAAAGGAAAAGTCTCCACACTTCACACGCATCTCTCTCTCTCTCTCTATAAATAGTTGCCCCTGGCCGCAAAAAGCAAAAAAAAAAAAAACACCCGTGGAAAGAAGGAAAATTTTCTCACACATTGCCACTACATCTGCTGCTGCTGGCTTTCCACATACGAGAGTGCGAGTGCGAGTATGCCACGGAATGCTCATGTGCTCTGCCCCTCTGCCCCACCAGAGAAAATCCTCCATTGCATTTCATCCAGCGAGTGCATTACGAACAGCGATTAAAAATGTCGCAGCCTTAGATGGATATTGAGTGTGTGACTGACTGACTGTCTGTCTGTCTGTCTGCCTGCCTGCTGCGGCGGCTTTGCTGTATGTATGTCTGTCTTTCTCTATTATTTTATTGCGGCTCAGTGTTGGGGATTAGCAGAGCAACAAGTTGCGGTGGTGGCAGTCAGTCGAAGAAGGGTGGAGAAAGGGCGCCTCTCTTTTACCCTGGGAAATTTCATTGATGGCCAGGCCGGGCCGGGCCGGGCCAGAGCGGAGTGGAGTGGAATCATTCGATTCCCACGCACCCACAAAACAGGCAGCAGGCAACAGGGGGGGTAGGGGCAACACTGACACAGAAGGGGCCAAAAATTGAAGTAGCATGTAACATCATTATCATCATGAGACAGACTTTGGCCTCAGTTTCGAGCCAGTCTCGGCTTTGGCTTTGGCGTTGGCTTTGGCAGCTCCACAACAGCTCTCTGGGAGCTCTCTGGGAGCTCTCTTTGACTTTGCCTTGATTGATGCCGCTGATGGGCCCATCCTTGGGCCCTCCATCGCCACCGCCACCGCCACCGCCACCGCTATCCCCATCTCCATATCTCTTTGTTCCATTTACATTTTATGCTGTGAATATTACGCATATTACGTGTTGTAATTACCCAAAGGGGAAGGGAGCTGATATGCCGTTATTATGTCAAAATGTTGATTACGAAACGTGCCGCACTCGTCTGTACTCCCCGGGTTGTGAATGTGGATGTGGATCTGGATCCATGGGATGCGTCATTCGAAAGGGAGACCAGTCCCGCAGTCCCGCAGTCAACCTCGGACTGCAATCAGATAAGTGGCTGTTTATACAATTGCCTGACAAGTTCGCCATGCCGTACGAGTATCTGCTGGATACATACTCGTAAGGTGAGGTGTGGCACACACACACGCCCAACCTCAAACCCCAAACCCAAACTCAATTCGAACGCGAGTCCGAATCCGAGTCTGGGCAGAAACAAAAGATAAATTAGAACTTGAAACGAATAAATCGAATAAGATTAGGCGGCTGGCCCGAGCTTCGAGAAAGGAATTTAGAGTCGAAAAAACACACAAAACTAATTAATAAATCGTGGAGCCAAGGCTCCGAACGCTCCACTGTCGCGCACAGTGGGACGCACCCTTTCCCGTAAACACCTCTGGCGCCCCAAATGTGGAATTTCTTTATGAACACTGTCCGAGCGGGGGTCTATAATTGATGACTGGCTGTCGGTTGATTTGGAGTAGGAGGAGGTGCTTGGGTATGGGAGATTGGAGACTGGAGATAGAGGAGTGACGTGCCAGGTCATCGCCTAGTTGCTGTCTGTCTTCTATGACTTGCAGTTGCTGCTGCTGTTGTAACTTTAATTAAATTGCACTAATTGTTCGGCATTATAATGGATACCCAACACCGACAACAACATGGCTGCTCTCTGCTGCCACTGCCACCGCTGCAACAACATTGCTGCCACTGCAATTAGCCATTCAAGGCGATTCAAGACGGAAAGGCGGTTCGGTTCGGTTCGGTTCGGTTCCTTCCCCTGGTGCCCGCGTTCGCACAGTGGGGCAAATAATTCATGTTTTATGGCAAATAAATTTGCATTACGTCGCGTAACAAAACGCAATTAAAAGAACTGGTCAGATTTGCATTTAATAGAGCTACTTTGGGGCCTGGAGACGGAGACGCCCCACGGTTGCCAGCCACCAGACTGCAATTCCATGCAACATGTTGTTGCTGTACGCACAGCAGCAGCAGCAGCAGTAACGTGGCGTTGTAAAGAGAGACTGGTGACTGGAGACTAGAGCGGGGGGCAACACAGCGTGGCATAATTGCCAGTTCGAATGCACGTTAATTAACCTCTTTTTCATGTTTCGCCTGGATTTTTGTTTCGGGATCCAGAGGATCCTCAATATGTTGCTGCTGTTTGCTGCTGCTGCTGCTGCTGCTGCTTCTCGTCGCAACATGAGCAAAGTTTTAAACGTTGCCAATCAGCCAAGAAGGATGCCTGCCTGCCCGGCCGACCGACCGTCCGTCCGTTCGGTTTCCTGTGCCACCTGATACCATTTCGGGACCCAAGAAGCAGCCACCAGCAGCGCCAGTGTGGCAGCCTCATGGCTCATGCCTCATCTGGCTCATAACTGCACATTTTCATTGCTGCTCATTTATTTTATTTCAGTTTTGTACAACAGCAACACAAATCGTTGCTGCTTGGTGTTGTTGCTGTGGCTGTGGCTGTTGCTGTTGCTGTTGCTGCTGCTGCCTGTTGTTGTTGCAGTTGCAGTTGCAAGCTATTGATTGCATGCTCCGCGCTCGTATAATGACAGTTTCAAGTTCTAAGCCAAAACGGCAAGTCAACTTAAGATGAAAGCAGCAGCCAGCAGGCCAGCAAGCCCCATCCAGCCAACCAGTCGTCATCGCCATCCTCCATCATCTAGAGTCCGAGCATGTCCAAGTTGTTCTAGATTTCTGGATGATGTTGTGTGCCCCTCTGTTGGTAGCACCCCCTCCCTCTCCCCCTCCCCTGCTGTTGCTGCTGCTGGTGCTCTCAGTGTAATTACAAATAAGCGAAAAGGGAGGGAGAGGCCCCAGTCACAGCAAAAGCAAAAACCAGAAAAGAAGGCAAGCTTTTGGATTGCAAGGCTCTTGATACCCTGACAGATTGATCGTTCCTTCGTTGGATATAGCAAAGACTATTGCTTTAGCTGAATAGCAAACGTCTTGCTAAAATCAGAAGACACGCTGCCAAGAAGGGTATCTCAAAAACGAGTAGAATGTCTAGGCTGCTCCTTTGGGCGCTAGTTGAAGTGTCTTTTTCTGGTCCGCTCCTTTTATTCTCTGGTTGCGGTCGCTGGACAAGTTTTGAGTGGATTGCTGCTGGGGCACTGTTGCTGCTGCTGTTTGCTGCTGTTGCAGCGTCTTAATTGCGCAAATTAGAACGCATGGCAGCTGCAGCACAGAGCCAAGAGCGAGTCGAGGAGAGAACGCCCGAGAACTGGGTGTTTTGTATTGCCATTGCCCATGGATAGATTGCTGTGATGGGCTTCTTCTGCGGTCGCTTATTAAAAGCATTAAAGTCTATTATTACAGAAACAGCAGCAATAGCAGCAACAGCAGCAGCCATAGACATTGCCACAGGCAAGGAGTCATTGCTCTCGGAGATGCCTCTTCAAGTTGTTTAACAGAAATGCATCGAATGAACATTAAGCTGGCAAATATGACAACATTTTAGGAGGCCCTGCAGGCAGCAGCAGCAGCAGCAGCAGTACGTACAATACAGCATTATGATGCTGCATACCCATCTGCAACATGACCTCTTGCCGCTCGCTGCCCGGCCGCTCGCTGTCCGGGCTAATGCAGTAATTCTGCATGAAATTGAAGTCGTACGAGGCACCACACGTACGACTACGAGAGTACGAGAGTACGCGAATACGAGGTCTCACTCCCATATGGGTGCCCCCCAATCAATATTGTATGTGTGTAGATATATGTATATATTTGCAATTTGCAATCTGTATACTCACTTCTTGCCGCTCTCCAGGAAGACATCCAATTCGGCGGACATCTTGCAGCAGAGCGCCTTGCGAAAATGGCCCTGGGAGCACTTGGTGTTGATGAGGTGGCCCTCTGGAACGGAGAGAGAACAGAACAGAACAGGGAAAAGAAGGAAAGGGGGGTTTAAACATTTTGATAAAGATTGGTAATTAAGCAGAAGCCAAAGAAGAAACAGGGAGCAGGGAACAGCCATTCGGTGGCAGTGGCAGTGGCATGGTTCCACTTCTATGTTAATTAACTAAAAGGCCAAGTTCATATCGCCCCAAAACAGGAGACGGGGCACCCGAACAGTAGCTTGTTAGTCGAGAATGCCGCTCATATCCAGCGGATACATTTTGTATCGTTTGACAGCCGCCGCCGCCGATAAAGATGCAAGCCCAGGGAAAGGGCAGCAGCAAGGGCAGGAGCGGCACTGAAAGCAGAGCACAACGCACAAAAACTTTTGCGCCTTAATTGGATGAAAATTGTTGAAATACTTAAGAACACACTCGGACACAGGGAGGGAGAGAGAACTTATCCTTTGTCCAGTCCGGCAGAGGCAGGCTAGCGGGCAGGCGGGCAGCGGCAGCACAGGCACACACATAACTCAAAATCCCCGAGCGTGTTTAGCAGAATCCTTTCGGCCAGCTTTCGGCCTAATCAAAATACCAAAAACGCAGGGCCCCAAAGAGGAGACTGCGTCTCCGTCTTCGTCTGCGTCTGCGTCTGTGAAACCTGAGATCGTCTCAGCCTGCTCTCTGCTCTTTGTGTGTGTGCGTGTGTGTGCCTGTCTGCTGGAGTGTATGCAAAAATGGAATATATGTACAATTTGTTGTTTAAGCCAAAAATTGAAATTTGAACTTTTTTTTAATTAAACTCTCCTCCGCTTCGCTCTGCTCTGCTATGCTGTGCTCTGCTCTGCTCTGCTCTGGTCTCCTGTTTCTGGTAGTCTGGAAATCGAAGCGCAGGCCAGAGCCTGCAATTCAATTAAAATGCGGGTGAGTGATGAAGTCCCCGTCTCCCGTATCCCTCCTCCACTCTCTGTCTATAGAGATGATGGAATTTATAAACTTTAATCGGTTTTCGGATTGTTTGTTGCTGCTGCCGTTGCCGCTGCCGCTGCCGCTGCCGCTGACTGCCCAACAGACAGTGGCCAATATTAGGCGGTGCTGGGGGCGTGGCCCTTGGCTGATGTGAAACTAAATTGAGAACAGGCCAAAGCCAACGAAACGGATCGCATTTTGGATCGAATCCCAAAGGTAAGAGGTCGAGGGTCCACGTCCACGTCCAGGTCCAGCTCCAGGTATAAAGAACTTCTTTTGTGATAAATTTGTTTTTCCATCCTCTCCATTTTCGGATATAGTATATTATTTTTGGGCAAAAAACAAAAACCAAAAAAAAAGGAGGATAGAAAGCGCGGGTGCGGGTGCGGGTGCGGGTGCCACTGGGGGATAACTTATGGCTTCCTCTCTCTCTCACTCTCGTTCTTTCTGTCTACTCACTTGTCCTCTCCTGGTAGTAGTGATCATCCGTGTCCGTAAAGAACCAGGTCTGCAAAAGAGAAGAGAAACAGAAACCAAAGTTAGACAGATTTGAGATTTGCATATGAATCATGTAAATTACAAGAAAAAACCAAGCCACCAAGCCAGCAAGCCAGCGAGCAGCCAAGAAACCAAGAAACCAGAAAGTAGCAGCCTGGGAACCCACTTCCACTTGTGATTTTTACAGCCCCGGACTTAAACTTAATTATTCGAAGACACAAAACAAGAAACGAACGCGTTTGCCGGCCTACAAGAATCAGCCAGCAGCGTCCGTCCGGCAATCAGATAAGAAAATTCCCACACACCCTTCGGGCTTTGCACTCTACGTCTACGAATACCGTCTACGAGCCGTTCAAGAAATAACTCAAGCAAAAAGCCAAAAGAAAAACCAAGTGGCCCAAAGAAATCAGTCAACATTGGCGGTGGCTCTCCATCGGGTTCCATTTTTCCATGCATCGCTGGCTGCGGTAGGGTAGGGTTCTGTTCTTCTTTCGTTCTTATAGGGAGGGAGGGGGACGACGAGACCCCACACCTCCTCATTAGTGGTCGGTCGGTCTCTGGGAGGCTTTCTCTTTCCACCCGGGCTTTAATCTATTTGGCTGTTTTCCGTGGGACATTCCCTATTCATTCAGCTATTTTGCATCTACACACGAGCCGTATGTATGTATCTGTATCTGTATCTGTATCTGTATCTGTTGCTCTTTCTTCGCTGCTCGTAATAAATTTGTTAACCCAACAACTCAATTGGTTCCCCTCCTCCGCCGCCGCCTTGGGATTGGGATTGGGATCGGCCCGAGTCTGGGCCTGGGTTTCCCTTAATAACCTTTTTTTTTTTTGTATTTTTTTTTGCTTTTGCCGTTGTGTCAAATCAGGCGAAAATCGTTTTAAAGCTTTGACAACTACACGAACAGCTTGTTGTTGGCCCTGTTGCACCGTTGTTGCTGTTGCTGTTGCTGTTGCTGTTAGCCATGTTGCTGTCTCTCTGGCGGCATGGAGACGTAACAGGGCAGGAGAGGCAACAACAACTTGGGCAAACAATACGCCCGCTCCGCAAGCATTTTGAGAAACGACTTGCAACAGTTAGAAAGTCAACGTTGCAGTGCCTCCAGTTCCAGTGCCTCCATTTGGAGTTCTTTATACACAACTGCCACACAGCAACACCACTTGCAACAGCAACAAGAGCAGCAATAGCAACAGCAACAGCAACAACTTGCTGCAAAAGTTTTTCATCGTCGTCTGGCTGAATTTTCATGGATTTTTACGAGATTTTTGCAGTTTACTTTTTCTACTTTTTCTTTTGGCGACGGAGGCTGCCCCAGCCGCAGTCGCTTCTTCCCTCCCGCCTTAGGGGCGAAAATGTTAACACCATGTTGCAGTTGCAGACTTGTTGTTGCAGTTGCTCCTATTGTTGTTGCAGCAGCAGCAGCAGCAGCAGCAGCAGTTGCAAGTCCGCACTTGAGTAGCTTTTAATTTATGTGACTGTTCAAACCGTTGACAAACAGCATTACAACGTGTCTCGCAAATTTATGGCTCGACTCGGCCCCGCACTGATGGAGCTGTCCCATAAATACAGTTCTTTAGAGAGAGAGGGAGAGAGAGAGAGCATGGCATGGCATGGTATGTCATCGCATCGCATCGCATCGCATCGATTGGGCCAAGTTAATTGAAAGCAGGAAACTCTATTCAAAGACATTGACAAACAAATCTCAGAGATGGGAGTATCTCATGGATCGATGGAGGACTCAAGTGTTTCGCTAAGGATTTGCCATGTGCTCATAAATTTCGCCGACACTTTTGGGCCCAGCATTTAATGGCCAAGAGCAGAGAGCGGCAGAGGGAGAGAGAGAGAGAGAGAGAGCCAAGTTTAGGTTGGATTTTCATGGCGTGGCAGGCATTCAATTGGAACGAAGCGATTGCCACAACAATTCGTTATGTTTTCGGCGCCCAAAGAGCTGCAGCAGCAGCAGCAGCGGCGACGGCGACAGCGACAGCGACAGCATAGGAAAAGCACAAGCCAAACGACAGCTCTAGCCCCAGCTCCTAGCTCCAGCACTTGGCTAACTGACTCTCGGACCAACAATGAATGCATTTTCAATGGCGTCTGCGTCTCTAACTGCAGCTGCGGCAGTTGCCCCAAAGGCAGGCAGGCAGGCAGGCAGGCAGGCAGGCTGGTTGGCTGGCCGGCTGGCAACTCTGTGGCCAACCATTTGGACAAACCATCGAAGCATTTTTGGCTTTTGGCGTTTTCCTTTTTGCCTTTTGCCCCGTTCGCTTTGTTTTTCTCGGTCGCGCTAAAATTTAATGCCCACCCTTGCAGCCCCCCACACTGCCCCATGCTCTGCACTGCTCTGCTCCCACCTGAAAGCACGTGGGGTGCGGTCAGCCGCCATGCCAGCCGCCGTCGCCGCCGTTCGGCTGTTTGGCTGTTTGGCCGTTTGCTGCATGCACCTCGAGGCCGGCCGCCGCTGCGCGCATTTTCCGTCTGCGGTTTGCAGCTGGACGACCAGCCTTACATCTGGACCAACAGCAGCGCCTCCCCAGCCCCTCCCCAGCCCCAGCCCCAGCCCCTCCCCAGCTCTTCTACCCACAGCTTTAAGTTGGGGTCCCAGGTCCAGGTCCAGGTTTCAGGCCGGCCACATTTTTGTGCATTGGCCAGCCCCAAACGAAAAGTGGCCAAAATTATAATCTATGCACAAGGGGCGTGTAGCGTAGGCAATGGATATGCTTTCCAAACTACCAAAAATTGTCCAAGACCAAGCCCAAGCCCAAGCCGAGGCCCAAGCTGCAGCTGGAGTCCACTCGGACTCGAGTGAAAGTTTCCAAATGAATAAGCCAGCCGCCTGGGATGTGACTAATTTGGTTAATGCCAAAAAGAGTGCCACAGCTCCAGAGTTCCGGAGTTCCAGAGGCGACTACTCTTCATCCGAGTTCAGTGCGCAATTTGCATTTCAAATCCGACCAAAAAACTAGGGAAAAAGTAAAAGCCAAAGGACTTTTGGTAGTTCAATAGACAGAACTCCATTCTCCTGGGACTCCCATCGCTGGCCAGGCACTCGGGCAGGGCATTCGTCTCCCAATTCAAGAAGCACCAAGCCGACCGCAAGATCTGTGAGGGGCGTTTCGCATTTTGCGTAATCTTTCTCAGCTACGAGGGATCCCGGTCCCATGCCCACAAAAAGGTTCAGCCAGATATTAATTATAGGCTTTGGGGGCAGCTCTGTCTTCACCTGTGCCGTGCGCGCCTGTGCGTGCCCCCGAGGGGCATGCCCATCCCGGGAGTGTTAAATACAACAGAGAAAACAAGCAAATGAATCAATTACTTGTGTGATTTGTTGTGCATCAAATGTATCTGTGAATAGGCTCGGAATATTATTCATTTGATTCATTGCCCGACATTCAATTAATGTGATGGAAAAGTGATTAAGAACTCATAAACGAGAGAGAGAGAGAGGGGAATTGCGAAAATTGAATTGAATTCCGTATAAAAGAACACACACACACACATGGCCGATGTTTGGCGGCAGGCACTGTTCCACATTAAAAAGGAAGTTCCATATGCGGGTGGATGGAGACCGGCGGCGGCGGCGGCGGCGGCGGCTGGTCTGACGGATCTGTGTCGCCCCCAAAAGCCAACAATTGAAATTTCAATTTAATGCGAAATTGAATTCAATTGAAGAGCATTGAAAGAGCAGAGGAATGAGAGCACGAGAAGAGGCCAGGCACGGGCTGTTACTATATGATATATGTACATAAGTGCCATAGACTATGTGCTAGATACAGTGCCATACATCACTATATAGCCTGGCAAAAAGAATTAAACTAAAAGATCTACATATCTCCCACCCACATCTGAGGGCCTATTCCTGCGAAACGTACTGTACCGCCTCTTGTGCGTTGGCGGCACACTTTTGGTGGAGACTATGTCCATTAATTGAGCTTTAATTGGCATTTGGCATGTACTACTCGAGCTCCTAGAAACGTATGGCATATGGCTCTCGAGAAGAAGGCAAATCAAAGTTCCCGCTACCGGACGACAGCTAAAAACTTGAACAATGAGGAACCAGAGACAGGCGGAGCTCTGGCTGTCATATGCGCGATTCTGTTTCCTTATTTATGAGCAGATGACAGGGTCCGTTGTCCGCTGTCCGCTGTCCGCTGGCCCATCTAGTGATTCATCACGGGGCCTTGACTGGTACACTGGGACTCTGTCTGTCTGTCTGTCTGTCTGTCTGTCTGTCAACATGCCTGGCGACGCTTCGCGGAGATTTGGCGGCGACTTCTGGTCGCTGGAGCACTACTACGTGCTGAAACTTGTGGCAGCCACATTAAAGCGAAAAACAACGGAGAAATGCGAGCCAACAAGCAGAAGAAGGGTTAATGAGACTTGGCCACAAACTGCTCTGTGTGACGCATGGGGCGTTATGGGTTTTTAGCTGAGAGAAAAGCGTACACCAAGACGAGAAGCGGACAATTTTACGACATAGTTTTCCACAGAGCTCTGAGAAGTCCAAGCGAAAAACTTAAGGACCGACCGACCGATCCGAGTCGACTCCAACTTCTCTGTGAATCAATCAAACAATAAGTCAGGCAGCCAGCGTGGGGTATACAGCCGTGCGGTGCACTTCATTAAAAATAAATAGTAAATGGTAAATCAAGACAAGCAAATCGAGACACGGACAGCCACCCACAGGAAGCGGGGCCCAACTAGCAGCAGACCGGACCCCCTTCTCGAAACACTCCACGCCACTCCACTCCATGCCACACCACTCCACGGACAGCTGTCAGTCGGTGTTCCCCGATCTATCTACAAATCCAGCGACTGCCTGACATTTGACATGCGTTTGCGGTGGCTGCTCTGTGGCTCTATGACTCTGTGACTCTGTGCCTCTGTGTGGAGACCCCAACAAATGAGGAAGCCACAGCAGCAGCAGCAGCAGCACCAGCAACAGCAGCAACTGACTTTCAAGGGGCATGCAAATCCGGGACAGACGGTAGCCAAAAAGTCAGTGCCAGGGGTCCCCGGCTCCCCGGCTCAGGCGGAAAATCCAAATGCTAATACAAGCCAAAATGCAAAGCGATTTCCCGCCGCCGCATTGGGCATTCAATCAAAGTCGAGAGCTCCGTTTGGGCCTCTCCGGTTTTGGCCAAAACTCTTTACAGTAATTTATGCTCATTTGTAAGCATGAAAAATTTGAATCATTCATCAAAGGCTCTGTCCGGAGAGACAGACTGGCAGGAGGGAGCGTACGGTGTTCCCGATCTCTTGATCTGCGAGTAAACGGTGGGTTTTGTAGAGGAGCAGCCCCTCATGCAAAAACATCCCCAATTAGAGCATGATCTGGGAGTTCAGGTTCATCTGAGGCATGACCTCTTGAGGAAATCCTTAGGGAGGTGCACCCCCGAGCATTCTTTTGTCACACGGGCTGTGTGATCTCTCGATCACAGGAGCACCAGCACCCCTTAATGTAATACCTTCTCCTTCCACAATCGACAATCGCTCGGAATCGTAATCGATGGGTCCACAGATCTGGTTTGTTACAGGCGGACCTTTTATGGGCGCTGGCTACGATGAACGACAGCGAAACATTAATCAACAGCAGCAGCAACAACAGCAACAACAGCAGCAACAGCAGCAACAATACCAACAGCAATTACAACAAATTGTTTCAAATGCGGCAGGCGCACAGCCACAGCGACAGCCAATCAAATGCGAACGCAACATTGAAGTTGTTGCCGCCTGTTGCTGTTGCTGTTGCTGTGTTGCCTGTCGCGCTGCTCCACATTGTTGTTAACCACACGGCAAATGACGGGCCAACAACAACAGCAGTCGACACACAGCATCATCGACAGGCCAACACAGCCAACAGCCAACAGCCAAGAGCCAGCAGAGTTTCCATCAAAATAATTGGCCAAAAGCAGCGCAGCGATCAATTGTTGTTGTCGGGCAAGGAGAAATGGATGCTTGCTTGTTGCTCGATGGCTGGATGGATGGCTGGATGGATGGATCGATGGATGGCTGGATGCCATGCCGTTTTTAGTGAGGAAATTACCAATCGATATGGTAGCGAACCATCGATACCGATAACGATAGCCGTTTACAGCTTAAAGTTGCATGTCCCCATTGAGTGTCTCTGCCTCCCCCTGCTGCCACAACTGTAGTAAGCAAATATGAGAGAGGGAAAAAGTTGAACAAAAATGATATTACAACTAGAGGATACCCCGCACCTTGATGGAAAGTTCTGCTAGAAGGAGTTCCAGCTGGCTTCTTTCCCAGTGTGGCTTAGCAGCATACTTCTCTCTCGCTCTCGCTCTCTCTCTCTTTTAATGGCTCCACGGCTCTACTAGTACTCGTATAAAATGGCTTTCATTGAGGTACTTCCACTATCCTACGATCTATGGTCCGCTTCCTTCTTCCAGCATACCCCCCAGTGTGCTTTGCCATTTACAGGGTATGCAACAGTACTACTACATGCCCTGCAGCATTTCCCCCTGGCTCGGGCTTGGGGGGGCTGGCTGGCAACTGCCTGGAAACGTGCTCGTCAAGCATTTTTACAATTTTCAAAAAGGTATAGCCCGCACACACATGCAATTCCCCTCGGGGCTTATTTATTTGTGTGCTGTTCAGATGTTTTGTTTTTTCTGTCGCTGCTGTTGTTTTCGTTGTTGCATGCAACTCAACGTCAATGGGGCACCGGGGGAGGAGTACCGTGCAGTGCTGTGCAGTGCCGAGTGCAGTTTTGTGTAAACAATAACGAAACACATTTGTGACGCGTGATTTTGCATAAGTTGGCACAGGCAAGAGGACTCGGTGGACGGGGGTGGATGGGGGGCAGGGGAGGCGGGGAGGCGGCACTCTTGCTGCTGCCACAATCATCCTTTCACCCAACCGAAAAACCCATTGAAAGAGAGGCCCAAAATTCGATTAAATGTCGGGCCAACGAAATCGGAAACAAAAGCGTTTATCCATTCAGTTATAGCCGCAAAAAGCAAACTCCATTAGAGGAGAGGGGTGGGCAGGGGGGCAGGGGGCCTCCCCATCAAACAGTGGATATCCCCAATATATTCGTACGAATTGCGAGTTTAAGCCACAAAATGAATGAAGACATTTTTATGGCCAATTAAGCGACCGCCACAGAAATCATAAATAGCCAAAATGAGCCAAAAAAAAAACAAAAAAGCAAAAAAACAAAACCAAAATAATAAAAACCGATCCAAAATCGAATCAATTCCAGACAGCTTAAAAACTCATTATGCAAATTGGTTTTGCTTTTTGTTTTTGGTTTTTGGGAGACTGGGCCGGGGAGATTTGGCAAATCTTTCAAATGAAATCTGTGGCAACCTTTGGCGCTCGGGCTGTCGCTTGTAGCTGGCCTTAGTCCCCACTTAGCCCCACACAAATTGTCGGCCACCCACTCGGAACGAGTCGGGAAATTAGCTGCAAGCTAATCTGCGATCTTCCACGGAGTCTCGCGAGGAGTCTCGTACTAGCGTCTCCAGGGTCTCAAAGTCTCTCACCTGATCGCGGGCCAATTGGAACCAGGTCTTGATGATCAGCGCCAGTCGGGTATCGTGATAGTTCTTCGTTGTCTTCACACTGATGAAAATGTCATCCAGTTCGGTGATGGGCGGCTGCGGCGTCGCTGTCACCGCTCGCTGCGAGAGGTCGTGGAGCAGCTCCCCGTTTCGGCTGCGGCGCGCCAGCTCTGTGAGCAGCGTGGCCGTTGGCCGCTCGCTGACCTCGATGTCGCTGAAGTTGAAGCTTCGGATGTCCTTGCGGATGATCACGGTGGTGGGGGAGGCGGCGGCGGCAGCTGCAGCCGCCGGCTGGGTGGGCGTCGAGCTGGACGAGTGCAGGGCATAGTCCTGCAGCAGCTGGTCGCGATGTGTGGTCACAACAGGTTCATTGGCATTGGCATTGGCATTCGTATTGGCATTCGTATTGGCACTGGCATCCACCTGGCTGTGCGGCACCTAAGAAGGTGCGAGGGAGAAACAAAGAGAGTGGGGGTGGGAGGGTTAATGTAAATTTGTTGTGTAAATCGCACGTAGGGCAATAAAAAACAAAACAAAAAAAAATGATGAAGACAGACGCCTATGCCGCAGATAGGCAGAGGCAGAGGCAGAGACAGAAACAGAACCAGAACCAGAGACGACCCATCATCCACAGGTCCAGGTCCGCCTCCGCAGGCGTTCGAGGCATTTTCACCTGGCAAACAAAGGCGAACTTCAATGGCAAACAACAATGGCAAACAAATGAGCCGCAGAGGCAGGCAGAACAAACAGAACAAACAGTGCCACAACATCTCCCCCTCATAAATGCTGAGTAAGAGCAAACACACAGAAAACACCGAAACGGGGATCGGGATTGGGATTGGTATACGGATAGGGATACGGATAGGGATAGGGGGATCTGGGGATTGGAACTTCGGGAAAGGGAACCCCTCTTTGGTGCTTCGCTCTCTCTTCACTCTTCACTCCTCCCCTCGCCCCTCTTCGCCCTTCTCGTTGCCCCTTGATTAATTTCCACTGATAACAGGTTCATTTGCTTTTGTTGAATGCTCGTCGTCGTTGTAGTCGTTGTAGTCGTCGTCGGCGGCGGCTCTTCAATTGCTCTTTCCAGATCTCCTCCGTCTTCGTCTTCGTCTCCGTCTCCGCTCTTTAATGACCCACCGGAATGGGGACAGGTGGAGACAGGGGAGTGGTGCTGGTGCTGGGGCTGGTGGTGGTGGTGGTGGTCTCTTTGCTTTGAGGCGATTCTGATTGAAGAGTGCTGATAAGTGGCACAGCAGAGCACTCGGATGATGAGACACCTCGACTGGGCAATACCCTGGAAGCCATCGATCTACTTTTCCCCAATGAATTTCCGTTTCTCTATGCAAATCAGAAAGCCCAACTTCCGTCATAAATCCATTCACAGAATAAAGACTGAATCTCCCTCTCCCTTTGGGAGCTGCTTCACACGATATTGTCCCGTTGATAGCAGCAGCCGCAAGTTGTGGCGGTCTCATAGAATTTTATGGCCGCACGATCGACGGACAGACAAAACGGTGTTCCAATATATAATAGAGCTGAGCCCCAAAACGGCGATCATCGAGCGGGTCTCAGGGCAGAAGCTGCCGCTTCCTGAACACAGAAGAGATATGACAGTGGCATATCAGGTGTAAACGGCTGCTGCTGGGAATTGGAAAGCTGAGAAGATCTGATGATGGGCTGCCGCTGCTGTTTCAAGCAATTAAAAAGCTGAAATATTAATTTGGCCAAAAGCAGCAGCACAAATCGCGAGCTCCAATAAAGATCTGAACGGGAAAGATACTCGAACGAGTATTCGTACTCGTATTGAGGGAGAAGTCGTGACGGGAATCGTGTGAGCGAATGTGAGCGACAGTGAAAGCCGTTCGTTGAGTGGGTTGCATAAGCCTCCCCTGGGGACACGCCTCTTTCAATCACAGCCTTTGGGTTCGAGCCACACATATGTATATACGTATATTGCTAGATATATTCAAGGTTCATGGTGCATGGATTAGAATGTGGTGCGGTGGATGCCATGATGCAAGCAGAATAATATGCAAATGAAGAACATGGAGAACCGCAGCAGGCAAAGGCTTTGCGACACTTTTGCTCGAGCGGCGAATTACTGGAACGTGAGGAAACTAACAAGCGACAGATACGGATACAGATACCGAAACCGAAACAGAAACAGATACAGATACAGGCGGAACGTGTGCCCATATATGCTGCACGCCTGCACACGCTTCAGCAGCGGCAGATACAACACACTACCAGTACAAGTACAAGTACAATAGAGACAATCCGATGGATACAAAAGATACAAAAGAGAAACCAAATCAAATGCGAACAAATCTAAAACGCTCTGGGGTATCGTATCGTATCGGAGGGGTACCGGTGCCCCCTTCCACGCCCACTCCAGTGACTAATGCTTCATTAGCCAAGTGATTAATATGTTTATAAACATTTCCATGTCAATTAATAACGAGATTGGAGACTGGGCTGGCTGGGTGGGGGCCCATATAGAGGTGCAGACGGAGGAGAGGTGTGCTTCGGTGTGAGAATAATATAAAAGGGCGCCAAATCTACTCTGCGTTCGCCCCCTTACTCTCCGGAAGATTAATGAGTAAATCTCTTACGATTTTTATATAACGGAAAACATAAATCAGCGAAAAATCAAAAGAATTCCCTACCCGAAAAATGCCATCCAGCTGGGCGGCAGACAGAAAGACAGATACAAAGATACATAGAGAGAGAGAGAGAGAGAAGGAAGAGCCTAAGATCGAGAAGCGGAAAAATCTTCATTAAATGCTGTTTAACAATATTATCCGTAAGATACAAATCTAAGATAAGATGCACACAGGCAGGCAGTCGGCTCAATTAAGCGACCACCAAAAGATACTCTGCTGCTGCCACTTCTTCTGCCGCTGCTGCTGTTGCTGTTGCTGTTGCTGCTGCTGTTGCTGCAGAAGATACAGATACATTGCGCCTTTATCAGGCGCCTACAAGCGCTTGCTGCAGCTTAATGTCGTCAGCTTTTTGGGCTCTCAAGTTGGCAAGAAGATGAGGAGATGCTGCAGCTGGTTTGGCCATGGGAAAGACCGGGATGCATGGGACTCGGTTGGGGCACCTGCTTTCGGTCGGTCGGGGGCCGTGTGGCAGAAACAGGAATCCCATACCCATGCACATACCCAGGCATACCCATCATCAGGCAGCCGTCCTCTGTCTTCGCTGATTTGCATGCTCCTCAACTCGAGAGCCTCGAGAGCCTCGAGAGCCCTGCCTGTCGTCGCTGTTATTGTTGTCATTATGTATTTACCAGGGCCAAAACCACGACTCGTAATCGTAATCGTAATCGCAATCTTACTTCGGTACTCGAATCAATCTCTCTAGGGGAACTGGCCATCAAACGCCACCATTCTGTGCGCCACTTTAAACAAATTCGTTTGACGATTATTATTTGTTTCGTTTATGATTTATGCGTCAGTCACACGCGATGGTAGACGTGACATGCTCCACCAGCCCCAGCCCCAGCCCCACCCCCCAGCGCTGGCAACACACCTAATTTCAAAATTATTGCTTTATCAGCCCGAAAGGCCGAACCCCAAACCCCACACACGAAAATCGAGAATCGAGACACAGTTTAGTGGCGTTGTCCAGTTTCGAGGAATCCGAAACGAGTCAACAAACAGCAGTATTTTGTTGTTGTTGTTGTTGTTGTTTTATTTTTGCGCAACACAAAAATTAAACAAATTGTACGTTGCATGCAGTTTTGTGGTCGCCACAACTACCACCAGCAGCAGCAGCAGCAGAAACAACTACAAAAATTAATTGGGACAAGTCACAGACCTCTGATGGAAGAGGAGGCTCTGCTCTGCTCTGCTCTGCGATGGAAAAAGAACTTCAATTGAAAAGTGCTACAACAGCAACAGCAACAGAGAGAGAGAGAGAGATAGAGACAGAAACTGGCAGTTGTCAACAGTTTTTGAATCCGGTTAAGCATTTAGTAGTCAGATATACGTATATACATATGTACTCGCATAAAGTATGTGTAGCACTGGTCATTTCTGTCTGGTTTCCGGTTAGCCCACACCAAAACAATAACTACATGGGAACACAACAGCAACAACAACTAAAACAACAACAACAACAACTACAGCTGTAAGATCCGCAGAAGCAACAGGCCACAACATCCACAACGTTGTCCAAATTAAAACAACATAAACATAAAGTTTTTAATTATACTAGAAGCCGAATTACTCGTACCGAGGAGGAGGACCAGAGGTACGAGCTACCAGAGTGCTGACCACATGGCAAAGATGAGCCAAAAGTTGGGCCATTGAGTTGCAAATTGCAGGGGCAGGGGCAGGAACAGAGAAACAAGTGCAGGAGCACACTGGCTACAGAGCAGGGTCTGCAAATTGGATATATGGATATACGACAGGGACAAGGAGGGCTACTATAATAATGGAATAATATATGAGGTAACAGTGCTCTTGAAAGGGGGGCAGAATGTAGATAGAGTGACTAATTTCGTGCCCCAGCAACAGGAATTACTCATCGAAAAGGGGAGAATCACTAAATATATATTTTCACAGAGGTTCATTGATCGAAATGGTTTCAAAAGGTCTTAAGGGATCAAAACTATCACATATTCGCTAATTCGGAAGGGAAATATTTGTTCTAAAAGGTTTTTCCACTTAAATAGTTTGAAATTGTCTTAAGTATAGGAATATACTTGGGATCCTTGAGGGAAGACTCTGATTCCGAGATCCTATGAGAAAGTGGTTTGCAATTTTTGTGGTCCAAAAATTCCCGAAAATGTAATTCCAAGCGGAATTCACATTTCCCAAAACGCTCAAAATGTTTACTATTTTTGGATGCAACAAGAGCTGCGCTGTAAGCCAATTCCCACGTGCCTCCGCTATTCGTTATCTGTGGATATGGCTGACGCGACTCTCCACTAGCCGGACTCTTGCTACGACTCCGCCCTCTTCCTTCCTGCACTCCTTCCTGCCGATGGCTGGTAATATTAGCACACAATATTTTATTACACAAAAATTTATGCAAAGCCGAACAAAAAGTCAAGAACAGCAACAATAAACGGGGTACAGGACAGGGACAGGGACAGGGCCTGTGCCTCAGAACCTGACAGACAGAGAGACAGACAGAACAGAACGCAACGGAACGGGGGATATCTGAAAGCTTTGGCGACGCTCTGCCGACGGCATCTCAGCGAAAAGCAAAAACAAAATTAAAAAGAAAAAACCAAACCCAAACCGAAACTGTTTTATATGCAAGGCAAAAGTCCAAAGGGGGGGACAGCAGCTCCAGCTCCAGCTCCAACTCCATTTCCAGCTCGGAATCGGCCTCAAAGACGCAGGCAAGGGCGTAAAAAGGTTTTAACGGCCGGAGCCGGACGTCGGACCTGTGGGACGCATGCGCGCAGCTGCAAACGTCGCCGGCGTTGATTTATGAAAGTGCACGATCGGGTGGGAAGGGACGCCGACTCCGACTCCGACTCCGACTCCGACTTAGACTTGGAGCGGGAACGGGAGCGGGAGCAGGAATCATGCAAATTTGGACCACAGATCCCCGCGTATGACAATTGCCAGAGCGAGTGCCAGTGCCTCGCCCACGCACATGCGCAGAGGCAGGTCTATTCTTCTACTCCTATGGGGGGGGTTCTTCACTCACTTGGATGCCCGGATATCCGTAGGCGCTCTGGTAGAGCATCAGCGTCATATAGACGACGGCAACGGCGAGTGTCATGGCTTGCAGGAGGCGTTTGAAACGTTGCGGCAGCGAGAGCACAGTCAGGCTCATCATATGTCGGACACACCGCACTACGCGAACATCGATCCGATCTGTCGATCGTACGAGTACTTGTCAATCACTGTCTCAGTCTCAATCTCAATCCCAATACCAAACACTTTATATGGAAATTCTCGCAAAAAATGTTGCAGCTTTTCTTTAGCTTTTGTTAAAAAAACAACGCGCGCGCATACGTCTTGCTTGTTGCAAGTTTGGGGCGAAACTGACGAGAGTGGCGGCGTTCCAGCGAAAATCGTAAACAAAACAGAAACCAGAAAGACCAGAAAACATACCCCGGGCAGGGAGAGCGACAGAGATCGGGCAAGAGAGCCCAGTGCTCTCTCAGTGCTCCAATTGGAAGCGTGGGCCGGCGCGAGAGAGAGAGAGAGGGAGAGAGCGCACAGCTGCAGCCGGGGCTGCATTGACAGAACAACTGCAGTTTTCCAATCGGAGCAAACCGCTCTCTCTCTCTCCGGCACTTCGTGTGCGCATGCGCTCGTTCTTAGTCGTGTTCCAGTCCGCTCTCTCGCCCTCTCCCTCTCTCATTTGCTGATCGGTCGGCGATCGTTGACTGGTTGGTTCCGCCTCGGCATGTGCCACAGTAGCTGCCGAAGGCGATCTTTCTCCAACCCGAGTGGGGATCTATCTCGTGGGCGTCCGTCCGTTCCCCTCCTTTGGCTGCCCCTACCTTTGAAGGTCTCTCTGTCCTGTCGGTCGGCCCTTGGCGGCATGTCCTTATACAATCTGTACGCCATTCCTTACCCAAGTTGGCAGGGCTCCCAATTGGGAGACTCCTTTTCCAGTCCTCTTCTCTTCTCTCCTTGCCAGGCCTCTCCTCTCTGCCGTCCCCACTCCCATTGCGACGACAATTCCATTAAAAGTTGTACGTTGTCACTTTGCGTTAACTTATCTGTGGAGCATGTTGTGCGATCGCATTTTTATTGTCGCCATTGTCTCTCTTTCCCCCTGCTCCACCCCGCCCACTGTCTCTCTTTGCCAGCGCTGCCCACACATTCAAGCCTGCCACATCTCCTCACGTGCTTCACCGTACTCCTCCTCCTCCTTCTACCTCTCCTTTGCCGCTTCCCTTTTTGTCGCATGGATTTCTGCGGCACTTGGTCTTTTCCTCACTTGACAATGCTTTGCATGCTCCTCCTGCCCCCCTACCTCCTGCCCCCCCTACCTCTTGCCTCTTGTCTGGTTCTCTCGCTTGTCATATTCCATGTTTGTGGCAGCGACAAAAGCTCTTGCGGCTGCCTCTGCCTCAGCTGACGCAAGCTTCGCTGCTCGCACAATCAGCCACTCGGCATCTTGTTCGCCGTCCCTTTGTGCGCCTTTCGCCTGAATTGCATTAACCAGAGAGTCAGCAGAGCCAGAGCCAGAGCCCAATCGCGGAGCCAGGACCAGAGACCAGAGCCCAAACCCCAAACCAACCTTGTTCTGCCACAGAAAAAGACATCGGTCGACTCGATTCCACCTCCTCCTCCTCCTGGTGCTGCTGCTGCTGCTCCTCATTCCTCATTTTTAATGTGCAATTTTGTATGTACAGCTCGTAGCCACGGAACGTATCTCGGTGTGAGTGTGTTTGCATAGCTGTGCTGGTTAGGCATGTGCCACGGCCCCAACCTCAACATCAGCTCGAGCTTCAGCTGCAGCTTCAGCAGAGTCGGGCTACGGCCTAGGCAGCGGCAGCGGCAGCAGCAGCAGCAGCAGCTCCGTTTATCGGCCGACCTAACCTTGTTAGGATTGTAAAATGTAAACCGAAGGCGTTGCTATGGACTCAGTCCTCCACTTGGACTTGCACTGGGGGAAATCTTGGAGCTGACTTCCAGAGCAATCACAGACCAAAGTGATCTTGAAAGAGCGAATAATCGCTGAATGAAAGCCCCCAACTGCATGTTTCTCTAGGTGTATACTAGGTCTATCTCTAGTTCTCTCCACTCCACTCCACTATCCACTATCCACCATCCACTCCACTTCGCTTGGGCTGGCACACGCTCAAGTTGCCTCCGTCCTCGTTCATCGTTAATCGAAAACGGGCCCCAGCACAGTCGCCCTGCGGTTAGGAGTGTCGCCAGGCCAAAGCGAACGAACCAAAGCGCGCTGGAGGATGGAGAATGGAGGATGGAGGAGCAGGGTGCATGGAGCATGGGGCATGAACAGTGGTGGATCGCTCGTGGATCGAGGAAGGTGGAGTAAGCCCTGGCCAACAATTGTGTGCGCGTGCGCAGCCGCCAATCTGGCAATGTGTTCATTTCTGAGTCCACTTTGGGGTCCATATTTTCGTTTGGGTCGGGCTAAAAATTATGCCCGGTAGTCATGCCAGACCAGGCATGGGGCAGACCTGAGCCGACCAGAACAGAGCGAAATTAAAGCGAGCATTTGACTGACGGACTGACGCAGTCAGTCCCAGGAACTGGGAAAACCAAGTGAGTGACTAGTTGACTGCCCAGACACACGGCTTGATTGCACGCCTTGTCCCACGTCCACGTCCACATCCACATAGCCACATTGACGTTCACGTCCACGGAAATGAGAACAGGAATGAGACTGCAAATGGGAATGGGACTGGGAATGGGGCATTGGAGGCAAATCAGAGACACCGACCGATACCCAACCGAGACGCAGCGGTCGCCCATACGTCATGGAGCATGGAGTCGAGTTGAGTCGAGTCTATTCTGTGCATGCATAGGTATCCCCATACCCATACCCATACCCATACCCGTACACAATTCGCATTCGATTTTGATGCGTATTGATGGGTGCCCGGCCAGCATGTCTGACGCTAAGCACTCGGAGATTAATGGTTCCGTATTAGTCAGTGTCACTTATTGGAACGTTGAGCCTTCTCTGCCTCTCTTCCTCTCAGTACGCGGCATGCAGCATGCATCATCGGTCGGGGAACGAGAACGGGAACGGGGCTTAAGCTTACCCATTAGTCCAGCAGCCGACTTCCAGCTGTAGTCAAAATAAAAGGCAATTACAAGTCACAACACAATGAGTACGTACAATTGAAGGTACAAGATCGTCGAGGGCTGAAGCAAAGCCTGAAAACCGAAAACCGAAAATCGAATGCCGAAAGAGCCGCATGAAAATTAATTTCGACATTGTGTTTACGATATCATCGATCAATAACTGTCAACACAGCGGTTCGATTTTTGTCTGCGATACACTGCCAAGGGGTATACGGGCTGCGCAGACAATGAATCCAATCCACTGAGAGGTAGACCAAGAAGTGCCGGATCGTTCTAGAGCCACAGAATCGGAAGGTATCATAGAAGGAAGGACATTGATAAGTCGACTTGGCCTCTCGACTTGAGACGCGTTTTATCTGCTGCACCCAAAATGTAATACAAAATTGTCTTGTATTTATTTCTTTACAGATTCTTGGTGAGTTTCGATTTAAGATTGCGGGTCACAGTGGAGAATGGCTGGGATACTGGGTGACTGGGAGACCACCTGGCGTCTGCAGACCACGCTAATTGCATTGATGGTACGTAGCGGGCACAAAGGAAAGTTGCCAGGTGATGATATCAGCATGATCAAGCACTTAAGTAAGTACAAATGATGGCCCCCTTTTAGAGCAGAGTCCAGACCCAGACCGAGACCCTGCCTCCTCCCTCGCCCAGAGTCCCCTCTTGGCATCACGGGGGCTGGGCTGAATAGTTTGAAAAGTTTACAATTTGTTGATTCAACGCGGCATGAAATCGGTTTTGAAACTTTGTTGAACTTTAATTAACCGATTTCTGCTGGGTCGGGGGAGGAGAAAGGGCGAAGAGCAGAGGACGGAGAAAAAGAGAGAGAGAGAATCATAGAAATAAGTTAAATTACATTTAAGCCGATTAAAGTTCAGCTTGTTTTCAGCAAAAAAACGATTCGATTCGATTCGATTTGTCTCGTTTGGGGGATGAGGGCTAATGTCGATCGAATGTCGACTGTGGACTGTCGACTGGCGGCACAGAGGGTTCCGCTCACAAAGTTCATTAAGACCATCGCCGGACGGGGTTAATACGTTGAGCAAAGCCATAAAACTCGAACTCGTTTCCAGCCGGCAGAGGCAGTGGCAGAGGCACTGGTAGTGGCAGTGGCAGTCGCAGCGGCAGCGGCAGAGGCAGCGGCGCGCTACGCATACTTTTGTGATGATTTTTCCCAAAACCTAATTTTCAATTTACCAAAACAATTAACAACAATTTTATTGGCTTTTAAGCCATGCAAACACTCGAGACGCTCCACTCGCAGGGAAAACAGTGAGCGGGGCGCATCGTAAAAATCCACGAGTGTATCTCTCGGATACACGGATACACACACACACGCACGGACAGTGTGCCGCTATTGATCAAGTGTTTGCCCATCACAAACATTTGTTTGCCTTCCACCAACCAAGTCGAGCATTCTATAGAAATTCCCAAATGCTCTCGAATGTAGCCCCTTCCCTTCCCTTCCTTCCCGTGTGTGTGTATCTTTTAATTAACAATTCCGAAATGGTATCTATAAAACTGATGTAACCCGAATCCGCTCTACCTATTTGATTTGTTTGATTGGCAAATCTCATGGTAACCCCAGTTCCAATCCCAGTCGCTCCATGCCGCATCTGTGGCATCTGTGGCAGGCAGGCATCTGTAAATCTCTGGATTGGTAAAGTAGGTGCCAGCGTGCATGTTGTTTTGCATGTTGGCCCCCAATATCCTCCTCACTCCCAACTGCTCCCTCCTCTAGCCACCTCCTGCTGTCCTGTCGCTGTCCTGCCATCCATGCCGTCTTCCTGGGCCTGTTTGGAGCTGCTCCAGACTGGCGTTCACCACGTGAGCCGAGCCGAGAAAGAGGCTGAGCCGCGTGCTAGGGTCCACAATGTGCCATAAATTTATGACACTACTAAAAATAGTAGTGGTAAATGGCAGTCAGGGAGCAGTCAGGGTGCTGGAGGCTGGTTGGTGGTTGCTGGCTGCTGGGTGCTGGAAGCTGGTACACCGAGAGTATCTGTGTGCATCTTCGTGTTGTTATGGCGGCTGTTACATTATGTTGCCTTTGTTTCTGGTGCGCATTACACGGGAATGAGAATTATATGCAAGTGAAAATGCCATTTAAAAGCAGATAAATAAACTTAATGCGAATCCGCACCACGGGAACAGTGGGTCTATGGGGCTGTAGATGGCAGCAAAGTGTCATTTCTGGGATATTTATGTTGGATATGTGTCGGTCGGTCGATCGGTCGGTCGAGTAGGCCTCTCTTTATAAGACGCTCAATATCCTGTGGCGCAGTCGAAAGGAATCTAAAGAATATCTTGAAGAAAACACAACTTCTGGCGATTCCAACTGAAATATGTATTCTTTTTGGAGCTGGTTATCCCTCACCCACTCGCGACGTCTGCGGCTGCTCTATCATTAGGTGAACCGTTAAGCACTGCTGCCATATCCACCACATCTACCTGTGTGCCCAAAATTGCCTTGCGTGCCACAAACTAGCGTCTGGCTGCAAAAGGCTTTCCCTGCTGCTCCTCCGATCCCACCGATAAATGCAGCGTTTGCGATGCGCAAAAGGAAGCTATAAATAACAATTAATTGTATTATTAAACTAATTCGGCAAACGCAGCTCCAGCTCCAGCTACAGATCCATGTCCAGGCCAAGCCCCATGCCCATGCCCAGGCCCAGATCCACGTTCAGGTTCGGGGCGGACGAAAGGCCGTCAGTCATGCGATGGGCACCGTCGCCTGCTAATTTACATTTTGATGGCAGACAGGCAAAAGTAAAAGTACCAACCGTCGAACGTCGTTTCTAAAATTGTGCCCTTAGGCAAAAAAAAAAAAACCAAACCAGAGACCAGCGACCAGAGACCAGAGACCGGCGACCAGAGCAGACCCGCACAAGTCCCAATATCCAGGTCCAATCAATTATGGAATCAGTCAATGATCAGCAAGGAGCTGCCGTCCGCCGCCTGCACGCAATGGCAAGAGTCGCCCAAGAGAAGGGCGCGAAAGTTGCAGAAAGATGCAAATAATGACAACAATTAACGCCCGAAAATGTTGTCCTCTCCTGTCCTGTCCTGTCCTGTGCCATTGCGTGTTGAGAAAGCGAATTAAGGGGCAGCAGCAGGAGACCCATCGAGGCATTCATTAAGGCCAACACACGAATAGAAAGTAAATGGAACGGCAAAACTCTGACAACTGGTAGAACTCTTAATTAACAGCAAAGATTCCTTGTCTATATAATCGCTATATACTTGATCAATATATCGAATAAGTATGGAACAGCAGAAGGTAAAGTAATACCCGCCCTGGCCACTCGGAACGATCGATAAGTCTTAGCTACAAATCGAATTTGACGTCTATCTCTTCTTCAACAAAACCGCCATGGTCCTTTGAATGAACGGCTTGACAAAGCTGACATCTGTGTAGACACCGGGATACTTTGGGCTGGCGCATCCAATGCCAAACGAAACGATGCCACAAACCTGATTATTGATGACCAAAGGACCGCCCGAGTCGAAGGTGCATGCGTCCTTCTTGCCCAGCACTCCCGCGCAAAACATGCTGTCCGTCAGGTTGACTGCAGGAAAAGCCAATAAATTAGCAATTGAAAATGTTCACAGCAGGAGGAGGAGGAGGAGGACCACTCACCTGTATCCATGTAGGTGGCTAAGCATTGTTTCCTGTTTAGGATCGGCACATTGACCTTTCGCAGATGAGTCTGGTAATTACTGGCTTTGGCATTGATTAGACCCCATCCAGCGACGGTCAGCTGTAGGCCGAACGTGAGCTTGGTCGTGCAGAGCTTCAGATGCATTATATTCCTGCCCCAGACGGGCCTCGAAAGCAGGCCCAGTGCCACATCCATGTGCATGTCTTGCTCGCGGAAGGCGCTGGGCGAGATGTACTCAGCCAGCTCCACGCGCTGGCCGTTCTGGCTCAGTGACGTGATGCCCGCCTGTACCTCCCACCTTTGCACCAATTCGCGCCCAAGGAAGCAGTGGGCCGCAGTGAGGACTATGCGACTCGCGAGCAGACCGCCTCCGCAAATGAAGTCGTTGCGGTAGCGCATGGCCACCAGGTAGCCACCCAGCTTCTCGATGGTCGTATACTCGCCTCCAATGACGCGCGAGTAGACCGATGGGGGGGACACCAGCTTGCTTAGCATATCCGTATCGATTGTCAGGTTTTCCTGAGCGTGGACATGATTCACGGCCGGCAATAGCGCGGCCACCAGCACCAGGAAAAGTCGCATTGTACAGACGGAACGGAGATCAGTTGCTAAAAGAGAGTAGATCTACATCTATATCTTTAGCTATGGGGAACCAAGTGGAACCCGGCCCACAAGCGTGGCCGAGCGGGTTAAGTGAGACCGATGGGGGTTATCCAACGGCCAGAACTCCATCTGCTGGGAGGGAAAAAACCCAGAAAGCATGCCAATTGAGTCTAATTGCTGTTAATTAAAAAGTTTATGCATTTTTTTGGTCTGCTGCTGTCCACATTGGTTGGCGTTTACACTGGTGTTCCTAAGCGAAGCTCAAGGGTCGGATCTCCTGCAAGAGCTTGCGAATGTAGTACATCAGCTTTGCATCTCGGTTCCGTACGTCTGTGGCATGGGGATACATGGAGTTGATGCACTGATGCACGTCTGAATAGTGCTGTGCAGAAAACGATTCATGAGGCAGGCTTGTAGTGGAGGCAAGTGATGATATTGATCCTTGACCTTACCCCAACGTTCCGCCAGGTGGGCTGGTAGTCGAGCTTGATCACGTCCAGGTCATCGGAGCAGAGCTCTTTGACCTCCACAAAGGTGGCGCTATCGGGTGTCACCCTAACCGTGACATCGGCTCCCTCGACCAGATCCTTGGGGTTGCGCAGCCCCAGGACAATGTCCCGTCGCGTGGCCAAACGGTTCCAGTCGGAGCGGGTGAACCTCATCAGCTTGCAGTGCACGGCCATCGCATTGTAGACATGCACCTCAGTGGCCAAGTGCTTCTGCGTGAAGTAGCCCTTGTCAATGTAGAAGCAGGCATCCGGCTCCGCAAACACATTGATGTTCATCTCCTGGAAGCGCTGTCAAATGATGCGGAAGGGTGCAGGGACTTAGTCAAGGAGCTCTGTTCAGAGTACGAGTATTACCTGTCGCAGCTCGATAAAATCGGATATGGGCTCTTCAATGTTCATGAATTTCTCCGGCCTGGCCTGGTACTCTTTGGGCAGGTCGATCACATAGCCCCGTACACCTGCCTTGCTAATGTACATCACAATGCGAACGTAGAAGGTGTCCAACGTGAAGATGACCTCGTCGGGACTGCAATATATAAATAAAAACAGAAATAGAAATACACCAAGCACGTGGATCGTGATTACTTCTCCTCGTTTGGCTCCAGGCACCAGTGGCGGAAGGGAAAGTGGGCATATCGATTGAAGGCGATCCCAAACACACCCAAGCAATCTGTCTTAATAGTTATGGTCCTCTTGTCGACATCGAATTTTGAGTGTAATATGTGATTGGTGGTCCAGTGGAGGACCTTGGGTCGTGGCGCTCGTTCAGCCGGTTCTGGTTCTGGTTCTGGCAGGATCTCCTTTAAAATAATTGCGGCTTCGGTTTTTCGGGACTTTCTGAGAGTTTCCCTTTTGCTTAAGATTGAGCTCTCCGTCTCCGGTTTTCTTGTGGTCGAGTCCTCGTCATCGCGGCTATCCTGGAAATCTATCTCGTCTCTAGCACCCTCACCTTGGGTAGACCGGGCAGACTGGGACAGCCTGCTCTTGCGGGTTAGAGACGAACGCTCCTTGGTCTGACGCGTAATCGTTAGCTCTGGCAAGGTTCTTTTATAGCTACTCTTGTACTTGCTCTGTATATCGTCCAGAGTGGCCAGAACACCGAAAAGTGACGGTTCGTTAAAGGCACTGATCCTCTGAGTCGTAAAATGCCTGTGGGCTTTTCCAAACTCATCAGACTCCTCTGTGGATTTGCCATGTTCTTCGTAATAGAACGGGTCTGCCTCGTCAAAGTACGGATAGACACGTTCCGGTGCGAACTGGCTCTCATAATTGAAGAGCGGATAAGGCTGCACTTCGTTCGCCTCCTCATCATTACCTTGCTCAAATTGTCGTCGCAGTAATTTGTTTCCAGCTGCCTTTTTAATTTCGAGCTCGGTGTCCAGCTCCTCCTTGAATTCCAAAGGAAACTTGAACGAGGATATGATGCGGGGCATACACTGCTTGCGAATCATGTAAATCTCCAGCTTGTTCAGGCTCTTCCCTGACATTTCAAAGTTCCTCGCGCCGGGACGGATAGTACTGCAGCGCGACCCCACGGCGCTCCGGCGGAGCGATTCAAAATGCGAGAGACGGTAAATGTTATTCGATTCGTGGCTTGGCCGCGTGATAACAGTCGCAGTTGGCCTGCTATAGCCCACCACCACATCATCAATTTTCTTGCCGAACTTGTCGACTTTTGGTATCAGACTTCGTTCCCGCCCATCCTCAGAGAACTTGGTAATGGACATATTTTGGGCACCCTTATTGCCCCTCGGTCGCTTCCTGACCTTCTCCGGCTCCGACTCGACTACTTCCTCGTCTTCGGGTTCCGCGATTTCCTCTTCGATGAAAAGGCAAACTGTGGGATTTCCCCAGCGACAGAGATGCCTGGGCAGATCGAATGTGAGGAAGAAGAACGGCAGCTCGTTCTTGCCCAAGTAGAGTATCGTTCCGTCCTCCGTTGTTTCCTCGAGCGGGGCACTCTTCACTTCGTGACGACTGGGGGCAGCAGTCAGCCGAGACGGCGCCTCCCTTATGGTCCCATGGTGGGACCTGGAGCTGAACAAGCCCACCTCATCAGCCTCATCGACCAGCCTGTTCCGGTCGACATACAGGATGCGTCCATCCTCGTGCAGGGTTATGTTGAGCTTCTCGAAAGCGGTGTGCTTGGGCTTGCGCACAAAGTCCACCGCGAAGATGCCGCCAATCAGAATGAAGCGCCGCAGGTTGATCTAGTCGAGAAGATTAATAGGATTGGGTAGACCGAGCCGGCAATCGAATGGGTATGGGTAATCGGATTACCTCGCCGGGAATAGAAGGATTTTTGGCCGGGTTATACGATTGATCCATGAAATTTAGGTACTCCTGCTGTTCGCGATCGATGAATATTTTGTACGGATCGGGAAACATTCCCTCCGGCAGAGCCTGAGGCTCTTTTGGTGCTTTCATTGGCTTCCCTTGCTGTTGGCCCTTCGTCTTTACGTCCTTCTTTGACTTCCTCGTTGGCTGTATGGCCTCGATGTTGCTGCAAGGTAGATGCAACATATTACATGCAACAAATGACTCTACAGCTTATGCTTATGCTAAACGTACGCTCTGATATCTTCATACTGCTGCATAGCCGACTCCATTTTTGTGATTATTTCGTCCTGTATATCCACCTGTGTGAGCCACTCATCGATAACAGAGTCCTCTATATCTAGTAGGCCAGCGTGCGGCAGGCTATCACTGTCAATCACCATCTCAAAGCTCTTGGACCGCTCCGAGTACGGATCAAAGAAGGTGTGCACACATCTCACGGTCATATTGTCGCAGAGAACGCTGAACGGCAGCTGGATATGAAGGCCCACACAGTCCAGATTGGCATTCATCACCGGCACTCTAAGAAAGAAGTCGGCAGTCCCTTAGATGGCTCTCGCTTTGAAGATTCGAAAGAAACTTACTCCAAAAACTGGAAGCGTATGGGAACATCTTGCAGACACCATACCTGAAAGTTGAATTTGCTGCCCTTGTAGCAATAGTTGGCCAAGATGCATCCAATATTTCTGTTTTTAGATGCACGTTTGTAAAGATTGAATATTTCTACTACTGCTACCGATCAAATCTTACGTCATAAAGGCCTCGGGGGCGGAGATCACACGATAAGTAAGCGTATCGAAGAATGCTTCGATTTCTTTATAAAGTTCAAAATGGATCTGGGATGGCAAAGAAGGGATGGCATATAGAAAGACAGGAAGAGATAGGAAAAGGATTGGACCTACCATTGCCAGTTCCACTATACGACCTGGCGATAGGTAAGCGAGTTCCAGCTCGTTGCGCTGTATCCGATCGATGCGCTTGATGGTCTCCAAAATCCCCCGAATATTCACATCGTAGAGCTTGCCTATGTCGGGGCGGAGGTCCTGCTCCAGCCTCTTGCGGGTGAGGTCCACGCGGAAGATGTCTTGCGTGAGGATGCTGCACTCGTTCACGGAGAGGGCCCAACTAACGTCGTTCTGTTCGGCCTCCGCCGCCTCGCACCACATCTGAAAGACAAAGCGACGGATGTCCTGCGGCCAATGGGGTCTGGGCAGGCCATCGCAGTCCAAATAGCGCGACCAGTGTTCGTCCATTAGCTGCTGCTTCAGCAGCTCATTGTAGTCCTCAATCGACTCTAAAGGCAATCCGTCAGATCCGTACATATATCTTTAGTCCAAGCCAATCATATTTACCGTTAATAAAGCCGACGCACACCCTTAGATCCTGTAAGCGCATCACATAGGCGTGCTCCCGAGCCATCCAATCGTCCTCAGACACAAGAGGTACCGCGGCAGACTCATCATTCTTGGATCTGGCGGAACTTGACTTTCTTGACCTTCTTGAGCCCCTTTTAGGCATGTTGCCCCCACCGTATTGTGTGTTGTTGTTGTTGTTGTTTTTTTTTTTTTTTTTCTTTAGATTTTTTGTCCCCGTGTCGTTGTGTTGTTGATGTGCGTGTACGTTTGATTCTAGTGTGAATTATGTATAGATCTGACAGCAGCAACTTTTTTGTTTCTGTTTTTATTTGAAAATTCCATTATTTTTGTGCGTGTGTTTTTAGGCACACTTTGTACTACTCTCCTGGATACCTACAACATAACTTCATTTACGAACCTCAATCGACGTTGGAACTAAACTAAGAATAACTCAATACACGAATCTCACCCAACAACCGGCGAATAAAGAACAGAAGAAGCGTATCTTTGTTGCACATATCCAAGGCACTGGCATTCATCGAGCAAACGGCCTGATGCAGATCCGTAAAGTGCTGAAAACAATATACATACATGTATAATGCAATGTATAGCAATAAATGTATACCTAGAAGCACATCTGAGTGACACTCCATCGCTCGTACTTACGGTCACGTTGCGCCACGTGTTCTCATACTCCAGCCGAATGACATTTACGTCGTCCGAGCAGAGCTCTGAGATCTTCACGAACTTCGCACTGTCAGGAGTTACGCGCATCGTTACTTCGGAATAGTCCGAAGGGTCCTTGGCATTCTTCATGCCCACAATGATGTCGCGACGAGAGGCCAAGCGGTTCCAGCTGGACCGATAGAACTTTATCAGCTTACAGTGGAGGGCCATCACGTCGTATGTGTGGAGCTCTGCGGCCACATGCTTGATGGAAAAGTAGCCCTTTCCGATATAGAAACTGGCATCGTTCTCGGCAAAGATGTTGATGTTCTTCTCCAAAAAAATCTATGGAGGATAATGCAGAATCCTAAATAGAGGGATTCGCATAGAATGGCTCACCTTGCGGAAGTCACGAAAATCGGATATGGGCTCAACGATTTCCAGATACTTAACAGGCTTGGCAGTGTACGCGCTGCCCAGGTCGGTCGCATACCCACGCACTCCCTTCGCTGTAATATAGAGAAACACGCGCACATGGTACGTGTCCAACTGGAGAATGATCTCATCGGGACTGTTTCGGGGAATGTGAATAGATTGAGAACAGATGACAGTAATATGTGCCCATAAAGTGCTCCACTTACTTCTCCTCGTTGGGCTGCAGGGACCAGTCGCGGAAGGGAAAATGCTCGTAGCGCTTGAAGGCCAAGCCGAAGATACCCAAACGATCTGTCCTAAAGGTGATTGTATTGGCCTCTCTGTCGAACGTGGTGCCTACGATGTGCTTTGTGGTCCAGTGTACCACCTCCTTCATCGGCCCATCTGGCTCGATTTCGCTGCTGCTGGAACTGTTGGCTTTTTCGGGGGAGTTGTCTACGTCAGTCTTGCTGGAATGATGGCTCTTTCTGTGTGAAAGAGCTGTGGCTCGTCGATACACATGCATCGTCGGCTCCGTTTCGGCTATGGCTAACTTTTCTCTCTTATCTTCCTTGGTTTCGACATACTGGCGAATCAGATCCTTGGGCCTTTCCAGGTATTGCCCTTTGATCTTCTCCAGGGTATTCAGGAACCCGTGCAATGTCTGGTTCATTAGGGTGTCCTCCGTACACATGTAACGCTGGGCATTATCGAAGAAGGGAAAAATGCGCTCTGGCTTGTGCTGCGATTCAAATTCGAATTCGCGTATTGGTCGCTCGACAATTTCCTCGAAATCCTGTACCCTGTTTATAAACAAGGCCTTGCCCTTCTGCTTCTCCTGTGATTGCAATTCCAGCTCTTCGTCCAAAAAGTCTGTGGGAAACTGGAAGGAGGAAATTATGCGAGGAAAAGAGAACTTTTGCAGGTTCCTCATTTCTGTAAGGGTCAATGTTTTAAGCAAGTCAAAATTGAGAATCGGCGCGAATATCGCCTGAATGGGTTCCAGTCTACTCTGCCGCAGAATCGACAATTGCGAGGGACGAAAAATATTGGATACTGGCTGGCTGGCACTTCTTTGATCGCGGCTCGGCTTTATAAGTCCACTCGGGGATGGCATCTGTCTATTGACCCGATCCTCCGCAACTTCACTGCCGTCGAAGGCTGGTGTCTCCTCAATGGGCACCATGTCCGTTACATACTGGCAGACCAGAGGCTCACACCACTTGCAGAGCCCCTGTGGTAGCTGGATAGTCACAATGAAGTACGGCAGCTCATTGTCCTGAAGCCGTATGTTGCTCTGTCGAGCCTCAAGGGCTGTAGTCAAGCGAATGCGCGACCCGACCGGCGTCTGCTTGCGGCTCTGCGATATTTGTGTGCGGCGGAACTCCGGCATTGCGCAGCCTCCTCCCATTTCGGCTACCACATCCGGCATCGTGTGCAGAATCCGCCCATCCTCGTGGAGAACCACGTTGAACTTCTGGAACTGCATTTGCATCGGTCGACGCACAAACATGATCGAATAGATCCCACCCAGCATTATGTGCTGCCTGAGATTAATCTGAAAGAAAAGAGCTCTCAGTCAGTGGGTTTTCCAAGGGTCTTACAATGTATCCACCCACCTCATCAGCGGTCATATTTAGTTTCTGTGGATGGTAGATCTCGTTGAGATATTCCTTGTAATCACTTTCCTCCCGTTGGTAGAAGGCTTCTCGGATGTCGGGCAACATGCCCTCAGGCACCGGCGGCGCCAATTTTGGGGTCTTTGGTACCACTATCTTCGGTAGCTTGTTTTTGCCCTGGGCTTGTTCCTTCCCCCTTTTGGATGCCTGTTCGGTCCGCTCCTCTATCAGCTGCAAGAGCTCCAGGTACTGCTCTCGCCTTCGCACCATCGCGGCCAGTGCCATCTCCTGCATTTCCAACTGCACGTGCCATTCGCTCATCAGCGACTGCTGGATATCCGCAATCCCTGCGTTGGGGTAGCTGTCGCACTCCGGAATCGCCTGCTCATAGCTCTTGGCATTTTGCGAGTAGTTGTCAAAACTGGTGTGGACACAGCGAAGGGTGAGGCAGTCCATCAGCACACTCAGTGGCATCTGCACCATGACGCCCGTAGCGCTCAAGTCGGCCATCATTGCCGGGATACTGGGGAGCAGATAACATAGCGACTAGAAGGAGGAAACCGAGTGGATTTTGGTCGAGTTCCACTTACTCGAATTGGTCGAATCGCACGTGTGCGTTCGTCAGACCCCAGATGTCCATAGTCCATGGCTTGCACCCGTAGCTCCACGTTGCTTCCCTGCCATCTACAGTTCTAGTGCGAAATTCATGTTTGGACATGCATTTTCGACCTCAACACTCACTTCATGTAGACGGCCTGCATTGACAGTACCCGATAGGTAAGGCGATCGAAGAGGCTGTCGATCTCTCGCTCGTAATCACCACGGACCTCAAAGACCTCCAGCTGCGTCGCCAGACTCATTCGCTCTACTTCGGCCTGGTTGTCCAGCATTACTTCGATCTTCTTTAGTGTGTCGAGGCACATCTGAACATCTCTGCCGTAAGCCACGCCGGGGTTTACGCCCAGCTTTGTCTGCAACGAGCCTCGTGTGCGGTCCTCTCTGAAAATATTCTGATTGAGGACACTGCACTCGTCCACCGACAGTGTCCAGTCTATAGATTTTTCCGTTTCAATGTCCGCGCAGTGACGCCTTTTGACTAGAAACGTTCGCATCTCGCCGGGATCAAAAGGTCGAGGCAGTTCACTGCAGGTCACATAGTGATCCCAGTGCTCCTTCCGGGCGCGTTCCAACTCCAGTTGGTTGAACTCGCTAAGGGCACCTGCAGTGGTTGAATGACTCAATTATAAATAAATTTAAGTACCACTGATCCGATCTGATACGTCCGTACGCTTTACGTATTCACAGCTGGCGGCCACATCCTGCAGTCGACTGAGATACTTATCCTGCTGCGCCAGCATTTCAGCTTCGCTGATCAAATTATAGTTGGCGTCCAAAAACGGCTTGCCCTCTGGCTGCTTTTCCATCGTGCAAAATACTGTTTGATGAGTACCCTACAATAAATAGCTATTCTTCCTATATGTCTGTCTCTGTGTGTGCAGTGTAGCTATCTGACTGGGAATGACTGAAGTATGTATGACAGCCCATGACAATGAAGTCATGGCGAATCAAATGTAAACCGGGCCAGCACCGCGGCTCTACTTTTATACTCAGCCGGCACTCAGTCTGTATAGTACATACAATATATTTGATACGTAATTATAAGCAAGCGGAGGCCCATGACTGCCGCATTCCTTTTCTCTATCTGTCTTTAGAATCGCTGTTCGCAAAAGGGACGATTTGATTTTTATTATGTAAAAAATATAGGAAAATAACATCTCTCAACATACGAATATTCACGAATATAAACACACCGAATAATCCTAAGAAAAACTCAATGGACGAATCTCACTTAACATCCACTTAACGTAATAAAAAAGTAAAGGATCTTTATTGCGCACGTCCATGGCATTGGAACTCATCGAGCAAATGGCTTGATGCAGGTCCGTGCAGTTCTGTAATCGAATTATTAGTCCACAGAATAGTATTCTCTATTTTCCGTACTTACGCTAATGTTTCGCCAGGTTTCTTGAAAGTCCAATTTAATGACGTTAATATCCTCCGAACAAAGCTCTTGCACCTCCACAAAGGTTGTCCTTTCGGGTGTGATGCGCAACTTAACTGTCGATAAATCCGAATGGTCTTTCGCATTCTTCATGCCCACAATGATGTCGCGACGAGAGGCCAAGCGGTTCCAGCTGGACCGATAGAACTTCATCAGCTTACAGTGGAGGGCCATCACGTCGTATGTGTGATACTCTGTGGCCACATGCTTGATGGAAAAGTAGTCCCTTTGGATGTAGAAACACGCATCATTCTCGGCGAAAATATTGATGTTCTTCTCCACAAAAATCTAAGCGGAGAAATGGCATACAAGAGGCATACAAGTCTGAGATCCTTCTCTGGCACTAACCTTCCGCAAGTCACGAAAATCGGAAACAGGCTCAACAATTTCAAGATATTTGACTGGTTTCGCCGTATACGCGTTGCTCAATTCCGTAGCATAGCCGCGCACTCCCTTCGATGTAATGTATAAATAAATTCGCACATGGTACGTGTCCAACTGGAGAATGATCTCATCGGGACTGTTTCGGGGAATGTGAATAGATTGAGAACAGATGATAGTAATATGATGCCGTAGAGTGCTCCACTTACTTCTCCTCGTTGGGCTGCAGGGACCAGTCGCGGAAGGGAAAATGCTCGTAGCGTTTGAAGGCCAAGCCGAAAATACCCAAACGATCTGTCTTAATGGTCATCGTGTGGTTCAGTCTGTCGAATGTGGTATCCACAATGTGCTTCGTTGTCCAGTGCAAGACCTCCGTCTTTGGTTCCATCGTTTCCTCATTGGCTGAGGCTACCGATTGGAGTGATTGGCGTGATTCAGCTCTCGATTCCGAATGGTGTGCTCTTACTTTGTGCTTGTGTCCTTTGGCTTTGGCTCGTGCCTGTGTGGCCGGCTCCTCGGAAATCATATCTTTTTTTCGGACAGGCCTTATCTCGGGGTCTACAGCCGGCTGCCGCAGCAGATACCGATCTTTGATGTTTTGAATGGTGCCCAACAAGCCGTGCATTGTTTCGCTATCCTTAGGGGCTTTCTCGCGATACTCGACACTCTCCAACGCATCAAATATGGGAAAGAGCCGCTCCGGATTGTGCTGTGACTCGAAATCGAAATCAAGTTTTGACAGTGCAAATTCCTCATCCTCGATACTGTGTCGTCGGACCAGACCCTTCTGCCTTGCTGCCTTTTTGGTGGCAAACGCCTCCTTCAGCTCCTCTAGAAACTCGCTTGGAAACTTGAACGAGGAGAGCAGGCGCGGTAGACAATGTCGCTCCATGCTCCGCAATTTCGGATGATCGAGATAATCATCCAACGGGAAATCGGGCAGACCGCCAGATTTCTCAAGCTGAAAAGACCTCGATTCACTAAACCGTATGCTCGCCCTGACAGTGGGTCGAAAGATATTGGCGCTCGGGGTTTCCTCGGTATCGTTTCCTTCGAGAATATGTCGCGGCTTTGGAGCCGCCTTCTTGTGCTTCTCAGTGGCAGTATAGCTGAGGGATATTTCTGGCCCTGGATAAATGGGCTGCAGACTCGTCAAGAACTGGCAGACCTTGGGCTCGCCCCACAGGCAAAGCTCGGGCGCCAGATCCAGGACGACGATAAAGTACGGCAGCTCATCGGGATCCAACCTCATATTGCCGATATCCTCCAGAGTCAAGCGGAAGTGAGACGACCTCGCCGCTGAAAGGGCCGAGGCTCTGAGGCTATCCTCGGGCTTGTCAAGGACGGCCACCACCTCCGGCATAGTGAGTAAGGCCCGGCCGTCTTCGTGCAGGATAATGTTGAACTTCTCGAATTGCGTTTGAGCAGGCCGGCCCACAAACATAATCGAGTATATTCCGCCGAGCATAATGCATTCGCGAAGATTTATCTGCCAGTAGGGATTTTCGTACAGTTTTTCGATCCGTAGTATACCATAGTTTACCCACCTCATCATATGTCAGGTTCAGTGCATTGGGATGGTATACCTCCTCCAGAAATGATTGGTATTGGGTCTTCTCCCTTTTGACGAACTCCTGGTAGATATCGGGCACCATGCCCGGCGGCACTATTGGCTGCTCCTTTGGGAACTTGGGTATAGCTGCCTTCTGGGCCTTCCTGTCCGCCCCTTTCGACTCTCTTGCCGCCTGTTCGTTCTTTGCGTTTATAAGCTCAATGAGTTCCTCGTACAGCTGCCGCTTCACTAACATCTCCTCCAAGATCTCCTTTTGTATCTCCAGCTGCATGCGCCACTCGTTTTCCGCCGAGGCCTCGATATCCACTATCCCAGCGGTGGGGTAGGTAGGGGACTCGGTAACCAAGAGCTCATAGCTCTTGGCATTTGGCGAGTAGTTATCAAATTTGGTGTGGATGCAGCGCAGGGTGAGGCAGTCCCTCAACACACTCAGAGGCATCTGCACCGAGACACCTGTGGTGCTCAGTTCGGCCAGCATAGCAGGAATTCTTGGGAACAGTGTAAGTATTAGGTGCAGAGAGCGAGCCGAGTGGGAAACAGAGAGACTTACGGCAAATTGTTGAAGCGCATGGGTGCTATCAGCAGACCCCAAATATCCATGGCCCACGGCTCACATTTGTAGCTCCACGTGGCTACCCTATTGTCCACAGTACTGCAACATAAATGTACTAACACTTTCCATCCATAGTTTTCTATAGCAAAAACTCACTTCATGTGGGCTCCTTGCATGCCCAAGATCCTGTAGGCAAGACGATCGAAGAGGCTGACGATCTCCAGCTCGATGTCGCCGCGAACCTGTAGGTTCCTGAAGGATTATCAATGCCGGAGACTATGTTACATGGTAACCCACCAGCAATATATCCGCCAGCCTCCTCACGCTCATTCGTTGCAGCTCCAAATCGTTGTCCAGCAGACCATCCAATCGCCTCAATGTGTCGAGGCACAGCTGGACATCCCTCTCGATGTACTCGGCCGGATTGATGGCCTGGACCTTTTTCAGCGTTCGACGGGTTCGGTCGACCCTGTAAATGTTCTGATTCAAGATACTGCGCTCGTCCACCGACAAAGTCCAGTCTATAGCCTTGTCCGCCTCAAGGTCCTCGAAGTGCCGTTCTTTGGCTAAGAACGTACGTATTTCCGATGGGTTGAAGGGTCGCGGCAGTTCATCGCAGAGCAGGTACTGATCCCAGTGGTCACTTCGAGTTCGTTCCTTCTCCATTCGATCGAACTCGTCGAGGGAACCTGCAGCAGATAATTACTCAACGAATGGCGAATGGCTGCGAATCTTACGGTTTATTAGCTTCCTGCTAATGGCCATATCATGAATTCGACTTAGATGCTGGCCGTGCCGCACGAGCATTTCAGATTCGGGAATCAGCTCGAAAACTTCCTCTGGCTCCTTTTGCTTCACCATTTTGCCAGCTTTTCGGGACTTCTGTGGGACTTGTGCTAGAATTGTGCTGCCTAAGGGAAGATTATTGCTCAGCTGAAAGCTAAAGCAAATGCTGCACTGTTTCCAAAGTATTCTCCAAAGAATGAGGATTCAATCGAGATATCAATTATTTATTTTAAATTGGACCACATCCTAAAGCCTTCGCTGCCTTGGCTTGGCTTGCACCCAGAAAATGCAAAGCCATAATCTAATGCCAAACTTTGGCCACATCTCTCTGGCAGCTGCTCTGGCAACAAGGTGGGTGCGGTTGTCCAGGTTGTCAGAGCTGAGCCGAGCCCCACCCACCCACAGCCTCCACTCCATGCCACTCCATGCCACTCCACACGAATCGCCTGGATTTATGTTGGCCTTTTGCTCGCATTCGTGCCAAGAAAATACTTTTGACTCCCATATCAAACCCGTGAGGAGAGAAAGTGTAGATGCTAAGCTGGGGATAAGCCTCGGACGTTGATTCGAGTCGAGTCGACCCGAGTATTGAGTTAAGTCCGAGTCCGAGTCCGAGTCCGAGTCGGAGTCAAGGCAAGAGAGCCCAAAGACAATACCTCGTTTCCAATAAATTGATTAAATTTTATGTTGCATTGTGTGTGTCTGTGTCTGTTTCTGTGTCTGTGCCTGTGCCTCTGTCTCTGTCTGGATCTGCTACGGATTTCTGGCTCCATTTACATACGAGAGGAGAGCATGTTACGTGGCATGTCAATGCTCTGGCCCCATGTCTGATCGATTACATTGATGAATGAATTTCAACAAGCCATCGCATTATTGGACATCAAGCCAGGAGGACAATGACGGGACACTGACTGCGACTCTCGACTCCTACACAGGCTCTTGTCCGGGGTCTGCATTCCACTCTCTCGACGTCTGGGCCTTGCTCTAGCGAAATTTATTTGTTGCAAGTTGTCTTTTAAATAAATTTGTTGTCAAACGTTGATCCCCATGGCATGGCCAGGCATGGCATGGCATGGCATGGCCATTACATTACATTCAATTCATCAGGCATTCATCGGCTGAGCAGAGCCTCAGTCTGTAATAAGTCAAATGGGCCCCCAGACCCCAGATACAATTTAATGAACTTGACAGACACTCTCTGCAATGGTGGAAATGTTGTACATTTCGCTGGTATGGAATGGTATGGCATGGTATGGCATGGCATGGAATGGAATGGTTTGGTATGCCTTGAGGGGCAGCCCCATTTAGGAGGCAATAGTTTTGACACCTTTTTCCTTTAAACAGAGACCCAATCAATATCAATTGATCTGCGCTGATCTGATCTGAGCCATCCCTCCGTTCGGCATAACGAGGCTGAATGAGTGGGGAAAATGACGAGCAAATCGCTTGGCAGCAGCAGCAGCACCAGCACCAGCAGCCCGTGCAATCATTCAATTATAATTTGCGAGCAATGAACATGAAGCGAGAGATCTGTCGATGTACCATGTCCAATCCAACAGAGTCCGCGTACAGGGTTGGGGGGGGCAGGTAGGCAATCTCCATGGCAAAAGGTAGAAATAATAACAATTTCCTAGCCTAGCAATTGGATGACTTGCCAGTGCAGTGCAGAACGATGCCACGTTGCCCCTGCAACGGATGGATTGTTGTTGCCAACTTGCAGCTAACGAGTTCAGCCAGCAATTTCGTCTCTCCAATCGCATCCAATCCAAACCGAACCGAACCGTACCGAACAGAACTGAACTGCACTGAAACGAGCCAAAATTGCAAGCCAGCAACTAAATCGAAATAGAAGAGCGGACCAGCTACAGCACCAGCACCAGCACCAGCTCCAGCTTCAGGCAAAAATAATTGACATCTGTATAAGTTTGCTATTTGATTTGCTGCCGTGTGCAGTGTGGAGTGCGCTGTGGAGTGCACTGTGGAGTTGCTTACTGGGATACTGGGGATACTTGGATGAGGATAACAAGTGGCCAAGTGGTGTTGTGTGTTGTCCGCGACTCTGTCGCTGTCTCCCTGTCTGTCCATTTTTCACCTGCACAGCGCGATTGCATTTCAGGCTCTGATAAATTACGCCAAAACTGAAGCAAAACCTGGCCATCTACTCTGTTCCAGTTGCAGTTGCAGTGGCACTGGCACTAGCTCTGGCACTGGCTCTGGCACTGCCAGTTGCAGTTTCAGTTTGGGGCTGAGAAAGTGCCAGTTAATGATTTTTGTTGTTGTTGTTGCTGCTGTCTTCCTCCTCCTCCAATCGGGGGCCCGGCTCATTGGGCCCCTTATCGGGTCGGGCGGCGCTTTCTAATCGCTGAATTGTGGCCGGCCACATTGTGGCATGTAAATGTTGACAGCAACATGTTTACCGTTCGCCTCTGTGTAGCCTCTGCCGCTGCCTGTCCCTGCCCCTGCCCCTGCCCCACAAATGTTTCAACAATGTGGAAACTTGGAAACTTTTGGCATTTACATGAGAATTGTAAGCGCAAACATTTCGGTTTTTTTTTTTTTTTGTGTTCCCTGTTCCTAAAAAAACACATACAATATGAGCATAGAATTTGTCCGGCAAAAAACAAGATGCATTTGCTGTTGTTGTTGCTGCCGCTGCTGCTGCCGCTGCCGCTGCCGCTGCTGCTGCTATTGTTGTCGGTCTTGATGGTTGAGCAACAAATTGAGTCTAATTAATTTTCAGCAAGCGCTGCAAAGACTCCATTGTCTGCAGGGAATATATGTATACCCTTTGGTGGACGAGAGGGGGCTCATTAGCAGGGTAAATGGATCGGGGGGCAGAGGCAGGAGGCAGGAGGCAGGAGGCAGGAGAAGGGCCCTTCATAGTTAAATCTAGGCATGAACCATCAAACTCAAACAACTGATAGGTTATCCCCTGCCACACAACAAAAAAACTCTCAATTTGAGAGTATCTCCCATTCGTCCAAGTGTATTTATCTATAGATACTTCTGTCTTTTGGCCAGCTCTTAACGGTAGATGAATGTTTGAACAATGAACACTGCCATCATGAGGAAAGAGCAACGGCAGCAGCAGCAGCAGCATCAGCATCAAATAAATAAATACTTGATTTGGAGCTCTCAAAATCTATGCAAAGCGGCATCAAAAGCCCCCCAAACGAACGAACAAACGAACGAACATTCATTCAGTTAGTTAATGCTTTAGATATGCAAATCAGGCAAAATTCCTTCGTTCAGCTTCTCCCCAGCTGATTGGCTGCCTGCCTACCGGCCTGCCTGCCTGCCTCCATAAGCTCTCTGCTTAATTGCTGCTGCACCGTAATGGGGCCAGGTTGGTGACGGGGGTTGGGGCGAGAGATTTCCATAAAATGCGAGCATTGTTAGGCAGAGCAGGAGGCCCCTACCCTAACAGGGCTACTGTTTTCTACGGAGGAAAGTGAGCGTGGAAAGTGGATGGGCACCCGAATGAATCTGTTTATGAACTGTTTTTTGTAGGTCTCTGGGCCAGTCGGGGTCACCTTTCGGTGGGAATGGATTGGATTCGATTCGATTCGATTGGAATGGCCATCAAATTGACTTCTCGTGTTGTACTGCTGCTGCATGCCACACCCCAGAATCTAGACAGTCCCGATAGCAGCCCTGATGGCCAACGCTGGTGGCCAATACTCAGCTCTCGACTTGGCTTATCACTTGACAGGCAACGGCGACAGCCGACAGTCGACAGCCGACAGTCCACAGTCGGCACAGTCGGCAATTTGCATGGGTCTCCCTTTGGCCAGGGGCCAAGGGACCCAGGGGGACACTGATATCAGGGAACAACTCATTACGAATGCGACACTCGCCTTGCGATGTGGCCTGGGTGCCGGGTTGCAACAAGTTGCAGCCCAGGAGTGGCGAGGCACAGTCAAATTGGCAAACTTTTAGCACTCTCAAAAGAGATACTTTTTCGATTTACGGGGCGTATGAGCAACGGGTCGGGTCATCACCAGAGAGCTGTTGAAGCCGAAGTTGCAGCTGCAACGGCCTCCCCTCTGAATGAAATGCAAATTTAAGTGCAGCTGGGGAGCTGCTGCCGCAGTGGAAACCTGAACTGGAACTCGAACTGGAACAGAAACTGGACTGGGTGTGGGGTGGGGTGGGCGATGTCGATGTCGATGGCTATAACTATGACTATGGCAATGACGTGGCCGGATCGGCTTTAAATAAATGTTATTATTTCGATAACTTGGCGTGTTTTTGCGGCTGTGCCCACGTTTAATTATGCCACAAACCGGACAGCCGCTGCAGCAGCCACAGCAGCCACCGCAGCGAATGGATTGGAATGGATACCAAAATCAATATCATTTCGTGCCGAGTTTTTAATGAACAATTGTCGGGGCACACAATTTTAGCACATTGTAAATAAGCAATTGAATTGGTGCTGGAACTGTAGCTGTGGCTTTAGCTGTTTCTGCAGCTGGCACTGGAGCTGTAGCTGTGGCTGGAAGTGAGTGGTATGGATATCTGGTCTCTGATTCCAAAAACAGACCGGGCGCGAGCCTGCCGACAGTTTTGATCGCCCCCATTCCGCACCCCCGTTCGCTTTAATCAAATTCACATTAACAACAGCAACTGCAACAGCAGCAGCTTTAACTTTAACGCAGCTGCAACAAAGAAGGCAAGTCATGAGCAGGCAGGCATGCGGCTATTGCAGGGTATGGGTATGCTCGAACAGGCCCACATAAGAAGAGAAGAGGGAGAGAGGGTAAAAGCCTCTTTAATTAAGATCTATGGTGCAACCAGTTCAATAAATCCCAACCCAAGCTCTCTGCTCATTCATTTCCATTGCATTCGCATCAAGGACGATTCAAAATTGTATCCAAATATTATGCTCCCCTGATCGATTCCACGGTACTGAGAATATCGATCCATCGGCCAATCCCTGGCCACATGTTCAGTTATGGATTTGTATAGTTTTTTTTATAAATTTTTTTTTGTCTCGGGTACACGCCCAAAAGCCAATAGCAACAATAGCGGTTGCAGCCAGCCGCTTGTTTGGACAAGTTACCAAAAATAGACCA